TATTCATATCTTACACTGTTTTTTTTTTTACTCTTCTGTTTATTCAGTTTTATTCCACTTAAGTTTTTTTTCTTATTTTATTTATTTCTTTTCATGTGTCTTTTTATTGCTTTGGATTTCTTTTATATCTTGTCTTAACTTGTTTAATGTTTTTATATTTTATGTAAAACATACGAATTGCCTTGTTTTTTTTTTGTTTTTTTAATGTATCTTTCCATTGATTTCAATATTTCAATCATATCATATGGAAACACATGGAAACCAGTGGAGTCCTGAACAGTGGAAACAGACACATTTAAAAAAGAAAGTTAGTGGTGAACATTAAAGACTAACCAACCAGCAACACCCGTGATTTCACACTGTCTTTACGTGAAGTTGTTGTTGTGCGTCTCCAGCTCCTTGGTGTAGGAGGAATGTCAGAGCTGTAACATTGTTGGTTCACAGAATTAATACAAACATGCAGCTCTAATGGTCGGGGTTTGGAGTTGGGGGGTGCAGCTGTTGTAGCAGGATTACCAGGGCAAGCCTATCCCTCTCAAGCCCCCCACCCCCCCTACCCCCTGCCCCCGCCCTCACAGCCATAACATAGCACAACACAACACAACCCCTCTTAACCCCTCCATGGACACCGGTGGTACCTGAAAGCTCTGACTGAGGCACAAGTTTAAAATGTTTTTCTGTTTCGAAAAGTGCGACTCCATGGTGCGTTCAGGAGCACTTCAGTTGTATTTCAGTGTTTATAATGTTTTGCACATTACCTGAGGTCTACACTGTCCATGGTGGATTATTAAAGTTTATAATTGAAGTTTAACACACAGATTATCACATGTGAAATACGCCGCTTCCCTCCTACAAAACAGCATGACTCTCTGACTGAAAGTCTCTGTGATTGTTTAGTATCTTTGTTGTCATTCTGTGTTTAGTCATACTCATTTTGAATCTCTTTTTAGTCACTGCATCTATATTTAGTCATTTTGTGTCTCTTTGTGTCTAGTCAAACTCATTTTGTGTCTTTTTTGTGTCTTTCTTTATAGTTGTATTTTGTCTTTTTGGTCTTTTGTGTTTCTCTGATGGTTTCGAGTCTCTTTGGGATAGTTTTGACTGTCTTCATAGCCTTGTAACTGAGCTCTGTAACTTTCAAACAAGAAATGTTAACAGTCCCCAGAGGCCCTGGTCCAGGGCCCCCTTGACTCTTCGGCCCCTGGGCCTGTGCCTGGTTGGCCCTTCAGTAATCCTGGCTGCTGTGTTGTAAAGAACAAAAACAGACCATGACTTCATCCAGAAAGCAACAGTCAGCAGGGCACTGCAGCTGCATGAACATGATACTAACTTCACCCACACCGACCGAACACAGAAGCATCAGTCGGGTTTCTTTGCTGCTGCAGATGCCAGTTTGGCAGTTTGATATGTTACATGTTTGGTGTCATCAGTGAGAGTTTCAGGCTGTGGTCCAGGCGGCTAGACGTCAGCAGCGGTGTCACTGCGAGCCTCACGATGTCCAGCCTGATCAGATGATCACTATGTGCCCTTCCCTGTCCCTCAGCGTAGGCTTACAGTAGAGGTGAAACCAGGTCAGGCATCCTGGTCGACTGGCACCATCAGGCTGAGATCTGCTGCCATGAGGATGATCAGGCTCAAGCCAAGGCCACATACACACCAGCCGGGACTCACATCCAAATTTAGAGCAAATCTTCTCCAGATTTCCAAACAAAATGACACCAGTAGCAATACAGAAACAGTTCTGTCCATGAATCTTTCCTCTTTCAAGATAACTAGAATCCAAATAGCTGGGTGAGAGTTCAGGATTATTTTAGCCTGTCAGCCTGAATCATTTAGGCCACATCTGAAGAGGGCCAGGGCTCTGACTCGGGACAGAATCGGATCTGAAGGGTGACTGCCCAGCTTACATGTCCACTATAAACTGTTAGTCCCTGGATTTTGTGGGTTCAAGCCTCAGTATCATTTTCCCGCCTGCCCGTGCCAACATGCTGCAGCATGTAATCAGCCGTGTGTCGAGACCAGCCAGCAGGTATGGAGTCTGAGCCGGCTTTACTGGCCTTATTTCCTCTCAGTATCCATCCTCACACATCTGGTTTAACAGTTGATTGATACTGGACTCTGGGTCTCTGAAATTAAAGAAGCAGTGGCAGCGTGGTCTGAACAGTGACACCAAACGCTGCTGTCTCAAAACCACAAACACTAAAGTCAGAATACAGATTTCTCCATGTTTCAGTGATGATGTGGAAACACAGCAAAGAGGTAGAGAAAAGCTGCTACTCATAAAAGTATCTACAAGTATTAAAGGTCCCATATTTTACACTTTTCCTGTGTTTTATTTGAAGTGTTGAAGAAGATATATTTGTGGGNCTTTACTGGCCTTATTTCCTCTCAGTATCCATCCTCACACATCTGGTTTAACAGTTGATTGATACTGGACTCTGGGTCTCTGAAATTAAAGAAGCAGTGGCAGCGTGGTCTGAACAGTGACACCAAACGCTGCTGTCTCAAAACCACAAACACTAAAGTCAGAATACAGATTTCTCCATGTTTCAGTGATGATGTGGAAACACAGCAAAGAGGTAGAGAAAAGCTGCTACTCATAAAAGTATTAAAGGTCCCATATTTTACACTTTTCCTGTGTTTTATTTGAAGTGTTGAAGAAGATATATTTGTGGGTTTAAGAACTAAAAACCATCTCAGTGTAGTTTTACATCTCCTCTCTCAGGCTTCTCTCTGGAGCTCTAGTGACAACAGGTTGGTGGGCCAATCAGAAAAGAGGAGGCTCTGAGGGTGAGGGCAGTGATTGCTTTGTTGTGACATCATAAAGTTACAGGAAGTCCTGACAGCTCAATTTCTGAAGACAGGCTGTGTGCATTTCTCTGTGGACTGAGCGTTTTGATTCTTTCACAGTATTAATACAGAACCTAGACCTGATCTATAATCAAAGAACTACCTTTATACAATATGCGACCTTTAAGGATTTGTAAAAGCTTCCAAATCCCTTTTGAGTAAACTATCAGTGTTTATCTCATAAACAGAACAAACAATGTTTAGTTTTTCCAAAGGAAATATTTATTGAAAATGCAAATGTACATTTGTATGATACAAATCCTCTTTAACTCTGCTATCCAGATGGGTCTGTTTGATATGAACAAACAAATTAGAAATTTAGTCCATAGAGAAACATACATCTATAACGCACCACCTTATATTTTCTTTGCTTTGCTTTTTCTGTCATCGGGAATAAAACCAAATCAAAGTTTTGGACCCAGTTTGGTTTGTTTGTTCTGCATTTGGACTGAAAGCTTCTCCTCTTTTCCTCCACAAACTCAGAACGGCTGTGCTCTATCAAACTCCAATAAATAAATAAAGTGCTCCACATACAGCTGGATATAAATCAGTTAATACACCTCACTAGCAGTGATTATTCAAAATATATGTGTAATCAGTAGATATACAGTTTATTTTTATCTTACTAAAAGTGAAATATCTAAGAATTTGATATTGAAAATCATTTTTAAAAGTTAGGAAATTGAGTTATTTACAAAAACAAGTCACGACAGGAGGGATTCCTCAGGGCTCAACTGTCTGCAGCCCCACTCCTTTTTAAAAATGCATTTTCAATATGTTTGTAACTCTTTACCCTGTGCAATGTACGGGAGCGCCCTGTGAAGATGAGTTCACACTGAACATGTTCTCTTTCCTGCAGGCTGACAGGGAGGTGGTGGTGCAGCAGCGGTACTGTGCAGCGTAATGTTTGAACACTGATTCAAATCATCTGTGGTCCCAGTACCGACTCTTAAAGAGGCTATTTGTAAGTTATCTCTACCGCTGATCAGGTTTCCTCCTGGGAGCGGTTGGTGGTGTTGCTTGACAAGAACTCCAGCCATCGTTGTGTTACAGGACAGAGGTTATAATACGCCCTCTGAGCAGCGCTACATCATCGCTTCAGGGCAGATTGGAGACAACAATGAGTCGCCATCAGAAAGAGATGAGACGGGCCAGGGCTAGCTGGTTAGCATGCAAACTTCAGTAGAAGAAAAGACGTGATAGAAACAATAGTTAACATTGGTGTTGCTTTCCACAGCTGGAGACAGCTCTTGGTGAGTCAAGGAAGTAAGTTTGATGCTGAACCCGCAGCGTTTCTTCTAGACCGGTAAGTAAACAGCTGTTAATGCTAACGCCGGCTACGTAGCAATAGCAAAACTTACAAATAGCTCCTTTAAGTATGGATCATGAGATGGAACAAATACAAAAAACTTTCAACATTATTTATCTGTGTATTTTTAAAAGTGTTCATGTATCATTTTGACATCAAGTAATCATTACTGAAATACAACAGCAGATACAACGTAAGTAAACAGTCTCAACTCTCTGCACTACTCTGCCTAAGAGCTGAAAGACCTAAAACAGTTTGAGTTTCTCGGGACGGCAGACGAGTAAAAGAAAAAAGCAAAAGCCTAACGACTTCCTTTGCTCTTATAATTAAATTTACAAATATATGCATAAAATTTTGGTCATTGATGTTTGACAGTCCATTTTTTTTGCTCAATCCCATGACTTCAATCTTATTAATTAATTTGACTGTTGTTATCGTTTTTTTGTTTTTGTCATAATTAACACCACTGGTGTGAATAAGAGGCTGACAGTCTGCCCCACCATGCTCTCATTAGTTTATGTTACAGTTATGGTAAAATCAGATACAAAACAAAATGATATACTGATGTTAAAATGACACATTAACAACTTCTATCACAACCACTATCACAGCTCTTTATATATTTATTAGTAATATTGAATCTTGCCGCCACAAACATTCCCTCTGATAAATCTAAACTCTCATAAACGACGAATAAAATCATCCAAAGTCAGCTGAGCTGCAGAACCACATGCCTGCCAGCAGAGGCACCAGCACAACTTACTGTGACATAATTTAACCCCTTACACATCCTGCGTCAATCGTGCTCATCGTGTGTGTGTGTGTGCGCGTGTGTGTGTTTTCAGGACCACTGGCAGGAGCAGTCAGTGGGCTCCTGGATGGTGTAGCTGACCCAGGTGGCGTTGCCGCTGCAGTAGAGCTGCACCGAGCGCCGCTGCAGCCCCGTCTCCCTGCAGCACTTGCAGAAGCGAGCGTATGTGTTGATGTTGTAGTTGTAGATGCTGGCGGACGGACACTTCCCATCACATGACACGATGTTCACCTGCAGAACACAGAGGGTCAACTGAGTAGATGTACTTCTATTTAAGAGTGGTCAAAGATAAAAGTTTATTTTACCAAAATGCCAAAAAGTACCAGGACGCAATTATAGGACAGACCGTCCTCCGTCCTTTTCAAAAGTTAGGTTATCTCCATCAGGACAACACATGACATAAAACATACCGGCCTGTTGCTGCGGCAGTCGTTCTTCCTGATCGTCATCCTCACCGTCACTTTCTGACACGACTTTCCGTCTTCTTTGCCTGTTCACACGACAACAGATGAAAACAAATCAGCTGGAACAAAGTTAGTGTGAAATATCCAGAAAAAACAAAAGACATGACATCTGTCAAATGTAGGGAAACAGCAAAAGAAAAGGAGGAAGTGTGGGAAGTACTGAGGCTGTCGATCATGCAGTTTTAGTGGATGATGAGTTAAAAGAAGCAACAAAAAGACAAAATAATAATGAGAACCATCATGCATTTAAAATGGCTTCAAGGGTTTTTTTACAGAGTCTGTAAACATGCTCCATTAACACACATACACATACATTTAAGTGATGCGTCAATGCAGCTGCCATATTGGAAGTTGTGCCTCTGAGTGTGTGTGTGTGCGTCTATCAGGGCAGGATTAAAACCATCATAGATCACTTCACCTGAACCTTCACCTCAGTTTGGTTTGTTACATTTGCTAAAAATGTGAATTTTCACACCAAAATATTTTAAATAGAAATAAATAGTAACAGCAATATTTCTGATATACTTTTAAGGTGTTCTTACACTATACAGTTTCTAAGCAGCTTAACTCATCATAAGGACAGACACTTGACTTTATGTTAATCATTAATCATCATTGTGATGTATCATTCTACATGTAGAATACTATACAATTACCTCCCACCTGTGAAATGTTTATTCCTTGCCTCCTGGTTTTATCATTTCTTTGATAAGAACAGTAAAATATTTTGTACTATCTGAAACGGTCAGAATGGCAGCAGCAGAGACGCCTCTCACAAACAGGAAGTGACGTCTATGTGTATTTATCTATGTATCTAAACAAACAATAGCACAAACTTAAAGTTGCTATGTGTGGCACATATCCCATCAGCCGTTGCCTGCTCTTCCTTTCACCACCTGCCATCATCAGAAACTGTAGAAAATTCAGGAGTTTGTGTAATTGAGAACAAAACCCAGCATCACAGTCGCAGAATTCTTGTAATATTGACCCAGAATACAAAAATGAATTCATCCAAACTTCTACAAAGTGTCATTTGTAGCTTCAGCTTCCATTAGCTGTATGAAAAACAGAATTTAGTGCTTGATAAGTGGAAGTTTCTTACCGAACTGCTCCTTGTTAGTCACAGTTTGAAATCTCTTCCGATGTTTTTATGTACACAGGCTTGAACCTTTGACTTCTTATCACAGAACCAGATATTTTCTATTGATTTGTTACTTCAAAAACTCTGGATGCTCAAAATAACTCCTCCCACTTTGCTTCTGTAGAGTTCCTAAATAAATTTACAGACGATTGTTTCTCTAGTGTTTGTACTGCTGAGCCTGTGATGATAAAATGCCTCACATAGTAGCTTCAGTTCTCCACAGAGCGCCCCCTGGTGGTGCAGCAGCATGCAGATCCTCTACAGCAGCTACATGTTGGGTGAAAAGACCCCCGACACCAGCCCACATCTGTATCTACTGACACATGCAGAAGTCTAAGCCCGACTACTGGGCCACTACCAACAGTACATTGTTGGCAATCAACAATGCACTGCCCAGACAGTGCTAAATGGGGAAAGAGTTTAGCTGTCGTGTACATGTACATGATCCACAGGGAGGGGGGGTGGTTGTTGGTTTAAATACATGTTTCTGTCCTCTCAAGTGCGGCATCATTTTTTTGGCTGACATGAAGGATTCCCCCCCTGCCTTTGATGAGGGTGTAAAAATTATATAAAAACTCATAAAAAGAGTTTAATGTTTATGAAGCGAGGAGAATGTAACGTATAAATACATATCTCATTCTGTGGCCTGCTCTGGTTTGTTGCATCAGTAACTTCTACAGATTTGAATTTGAACGAGACCTGAAATGAGACAGCAGTTGAGAGGACTGTGGTGCGAGGGGGGGGGGGGTTTTGTCAGACTTTGGGGTTTCATCCTTATTGTTTTTGGAGGGAGTACATTGTTGAATATCAACAATGGCACTGACAAGCCTTGTTGTTTTGGTACCTCGTTCACAGTTTGTGTTAACTGTGGGAGTCAAGGGGCTAACGGGGAAAGGGAACAGAGGGAATCCAGTACCTGGTGGGATTGGTACATGATGGTAAGCTGCAGCACACAAACCACAAACCCACTTGTATGTCACCGGATGCTTTTCAGTGAGAGCTACGTCAATCATGTGGCGCTTTGTAAAGGTTATCTGTTGCCACGTTAACCAACTGATGACTGATGAATTCACTGAAAAGCACACTGACTCTCTAATCTGAATTCACAGTAGACAAATGTCATGGAAAACAACAGCCGGGGTCCAGACACAAGTCACTTCAGACACCGTGGTTGAAGACTTTGGACTGAAAACAGACAAACTGAAGGGCAAACATGTTGGAAACATGTTGAGCAACAGGTGAAGGCGCTCTTCAGTGTCAGCTGCAGCCTACAGCTCTACTCTAACTACCGTACTGCTGCTACGCTCAAGTCAGATACTCACATGTTTTGCAGCATCCATCCATGTAACTTACGACAGTTCCACCAATCTGAGAGCAGATGAGAGTCAAAATGTTAAGATAGTTTTGAAAGACTTTTGTTATTCTCTGATGGCAAATATTCAATATTAGGATTTATCCACTGAAACTGATTTTTTCTGTCATTTTTTGTCAACCAACAACAAATGAATGTGAAAATGTTTGGAAATCATCCATATAATGACAATAATAAGCAGAGACAGAAACAGCATCATACATTATTATAAAAAACTCATTGTTCTGCCCTGTAGTGTTTGGAATTTGATGAGTGCAAATTTAGTTAGTATGAAAACCCTGGAAGAGAATAATTGTTTAAAAATAATTTCATTTGACCTTAAAAAATGAATTCAGTAAAATGTGTGACTCTGGTCATGACTCTGGTGTGTGTATATGTTTCTGCCGGCTGACCTTCATACACTCTGTTTCGTTGAAGGGGGGGCAGCTGAAGGAGTAGGATATGAGTGTGGGACCGGACAGAGTGTCGGTGCAGTCGAACTTCATGCAGTTGGACACCCACGACTTCCCCGGCTGAAAACACACCAGCAACATCAACATCTGTACAACATCTGATTCAGGCTGAGTTACACCCACAAGGAACAAAATCCAGTTCAGGGATCGGAAAGTAATGTTGATCCAAGATCATCTTTAATGCCAACTGCTTTAGATCATTTACATTCAACAAACCTGTTAAAATCAGCTGCTGAAGTTTGAGAGTAATTAAAGTAAACCTCAGGAACCTGCTTCATTGTTACAGACAGATGAAAGAAATGCTTGAAATAAATCAAGACTCTGTAAACTGTGCACACCACCACAACTCTGAGCAGAAGGACCTCCTACCTTATAGAGCGCTGTTGTCCCGTTCTCATGTTCATAGAGGCAGGAAATATTCTTACAAACACCACAACACGTCGACTGGTCCTTGGGAGGGACGTAGATCTGATTCTGAAACACCCCCAAAACTTTCAAGATTAGTTTTGATAAACAATGAAAAAAACTGAAAATGAGAAAAAGACAGAAACTCTTCAGGAGAAAGAAGAGAAGAGGATTTTCCATCCAGTTTTCCCTATAAAACACATACAAAAACAATCTGTCACAAAACATCACTGCCTATCTAAAATAAGGCAGGCTTTTAATTCTTAAGGTTTTTAAGGAAACTAAAATCAATTATCATTGAGACTTTTCACGATCTGCAGAAACTCTGAGGTAAACGTTAATTCTTCTCCGTTGTTGTGTCTATGTGAATCAAAGTACAACATCACATCATGTTGGTGTGAACGACAGATTTTGGGAGATTTTTTTCTAAATCAGTTTTATTGGAATTAAATTATCTTGGAATTATTGTAAATGTATTAAAAACACAAATCACTGACTAATCGTTTCACCTGTATTTGTTTATAATCAATCAATCAATGGTAAAATCTTTATTGTCTGTACAGGAGGTGATTTTACCTGTGTGTCTGGGACTCTGGCATCTGTGGATCTTTTCTAAATCCACATATATTTATGGAAAAAGAAAAAGAAAAGGAAGAAGGAAGAAAAGAGGAAGAATCAAAGAACAAGAACAAGAAAGAAAGAGAAGAACACAAAACTGACCACAAGCTGTAAAAGTTCAAGCCCTTCACGCCTGGATCCTGTGTCTGCATGCACTGATCACTGTGTGTGTGTGTTACTGGTGTGTGTGTGTGTGTGTGTGTGTGTGTGTGTGTGTGTGTGTTACTGGTGTGTGTGTTACTGGTGTGTGTGTGTGTGTGTTGTGGTCTTACTGGTTGGCAGTGGGCGGAGCAGTTGATGCTGGAGGTGCGGAGCAGGTGGAAGCCGCTCGTCGGGTCGAGGCTGCGGCTGCACTGCCTGCTGTGACACAAGCCGTCGTCTCCGTGCTCCACCAGAGTCTGACCCGGCCGCAACACGCCCCGCTCGCCAAACACACACACCGCCTCGCGCACTGAACACACACACAGAGGAGAGGTCAGAGGCTTTTTGATGGACTTTGTGTTCGTTTATGGAAACTGGTACAAAAATGTTTTGTTTATGCTTTTTAACTAATACATCATTTTAACTCAAATGTTCATCTTTTAATTGTCTCGCACTTTATGTTTTATAAAATAAAATTCACCACTATTATAAAGTAACTAAACAAATGAGCTTATACTAATGAGTTTATGTTGCCATGACAGAAAATGTGCAGTAGCTGCTCCAGGACAGCAGCCTCCCTCCCTCCTTCCCTCCCCAGCAGCGCTCACCACACTTGTATCTTTTGCAGGCACACTGGTTCTGTGGGTCGGACAGGAAGGCCCGGTCCACCTGTGCAGCCTCTCCCTGCAGAACACAAACAGAACCAGCCCTGGGTCACATAAACTCAGAAAACACACAGAGAATCATCAACTTGTATAAACAGAAGACGACATTAAAACACACACAGAGTTGGTGTTAAAACAGAAAAGAAACGAAAATAGGAGTCGTCTGGTGGTATCTTCAAAACGTTCAAAAGTTTTCTCAGCTGACACATGATGTCGTCTATTAATGTTCAGACATAAATGTCAGCAGAAAATGTTTTACATGTCAAACTCACAGACAGTGAAAATACATCATTAGATGTCCAAACAGAAAGGCTGAGTTTTTAAAGTCGGGACGTACCAGGCCACATTTTGGGGAGGCAATCTTCTCACAGGAACACTCTGAAAACAGAAAACACAAATGATCATCATCTCCGCATTTAGCTAGCTTTTAGACAGACTGATAATAAGAACTAAGTGTGCTGAGTCTGATTTAAACCTAAATAAATCTTTTCAATGCAAAAAGAGGATGTGAATCTCAAGCAGCGAGCTGCGAGTTTGAGTCGATTTAAAAATGATGCAGGACGAGAAAATAAGACAATCTGTTGTGCAGGTTTGTCCAACTTGACCTGAATGCATCACTGACTGTTAGTAGTCGTACCGCATGTCTGGTTGGGGCAACATTGACCCGTACCGGTCAACGACATCACCGACATCCCAACAGGACAACTGATCTGAGGACACCTGTAGGGCTCACACACTGAACGCGCGCACGCACACACACACACACGCACACACACACACACAAAATGCATCTATGTATTGAGAGCTGTTTTCAGCTGAATCATTCGAGTTCAGAGGTTATAAGTTTGTGTCAGCCGGAGTGAGAAGAGTTGGTGAAGTCGGTAGATAAGTGTGTGTGCGCTGACCACAGTGGTAGGCGGGGCAGCAGCGGTCGGTGGTGTTGCCATCAACTGTCAGCACCTCACCATCCTGGCAGTGAGGAGGCGTCTCCGGACAGGAGGAGCACACTGAGAAGGAAATACACATTCATTCATCACGCTGGTGACTCTGAGTTAACCGATGATTCACTGACGATTGAATGTGACACAGAACGAAGAGGTTAGTTTGACACTGTATGTGTTTGAACTGACTGCACATGTGGGCCAGGCAGCAGCTGCCGTCGGCTCTGGTGGCGATCAGAGTCTGGTCTTCTCTGCAGGCGGGAACGTCCGACTCACAGAGGTCAGGATCGCACTCTGTAACTCACAGAAACTCATTCATGAAATACTTAAAAAATCGATAAGCAGTTAGCTTAGTTTAGCTTAGCATGACAACTAGAAACGGGGGAAACTGCTTGCCTGGCTCTGTGTAAAGCTAAAATCTGCCAACTACCAGCTCCTCTAAAGCTAAATAATTATCAATAATTAGCATATTGGCCTGAATATAGGACGACCCTGACTATAACACACCTCCCTCTTTTCCTTCCCTTCTTTTTACGAAAGGAAACACTTTGTCACTCATCCTGCTGAGAATGTTTCCCTGAAGTACCGTTAATCCAAGATGGGATGCTGCATTCATGACATGTCGGAAATTACAAATTCCGACTCAGAAAAAATGATTTGAATGCATGAACAGGTCAGATTTTTTAGCTCGGAAACTCAGGTACCCGATTTACCCGAATTGACATCATAACAACTACGATCATGGTGTCCTCCATCGTGACTGGTAAGGACAGTAATGGTTCATTCATCAAGACGTTTTCCTTCATGGCAGCAAAAGATGTCACACTGGCCTTTACAAACTCCTGCAGGTTAAAATGGACTAACCACACACTTTCAGGGGTGACTGACTCTGAAAGTCCATTCTATAAACAGACTGAAAACACTCGCTAACTGGATAACATTAACTCCTGATACTTGCTCCATTCAAAAAGAATTTCCAATGTTGTCTAGTCCTCGAATAAAAGACAACCTACCACTTTTTCAAACCTCATTTCCAGAAGTTTCATTCAGGACGTCAGTGTCTCAGTGCACAGAGTAAAGTGGTCAGAGGGAAACTCACCACACACATAGTCTGGACAGCAGGAGTCCTGTCTGTAGTACGACACCAGCTTCTCCCCGTATTTACACTCAGGAGGGAGCAGGTCACACAGGCTCTGGTTACACACTGCACAGTCACAAATGACATCATCACATCATAATTTTTCACTTCATAAAACACATGAAGACTTGTTGATGCAGATATTTCAGACTGCTCGGGAACCCTTTGTGGCCTCACCACAGACTTTCTGTGGGCAGCAGCTGCTGTCGTCGGCCAGGCTGATGATCACCTCCCCTGCTCGGCGGCACACGGGCACCGCCACGTTGGAGCAGTTGTACTCCACGGGGACGATGGTGTCATTGTCACAGCGGTACATGCAGCAGGCGTCCTTCGAGGCTTTCCACACCTCGCCGTGTGCACGAGGAACGCCAGAGCTGTCGGTGCAGGCTGCAGACACACAGCACGCACAAAGACAGACATGAGATCTACTTCATTGGTTCAGGTTATTATACAGGTCTCTACAATTACAACATAAGTTTTGATTCTGCAACACTAGTTTGTGACTTTGTAGTTTTAATGATCTACTATTCAGATTCCATAAACAATCTCATGCCTTCATAATCTAATGTTTCGACTTCCAGTCTGAGTTCTTGCTCTGTTGTTCGGGCCGTGAAACTGGGGTCTTACCACACTTCTCAGGTGAGATGCAGAGGGCGGAGTATGGCCGGTGGAGGAGCGTTCCCTCGGGACACACACAGCCCTCAGTCAGGCCTGAACACTGGTCTGGGTCAGAGTCAAAGTCGTGGTTGGGGCAGGACTGAGATGTGCAGGCTGGCAGACAGGCCTGATACCGCAGAGTGTCGGGACACAGGAAGGCTGCAGGAAGAGACACAAACACATTACTTTACTTTAGACTTTACTTTAAAAGATAACACAAGCGAGTCAAGAAAAAAATTCAAGATGGCACTGCTTGGATGAATTGGACTTACCCATGCACAACTCACTGTAAGTGCATATTTTGTTATATAAAAAAAACTACACTGCATTAAAGTGTCTGCACATCCACACTGGTGTTTAGTTCATGTTGGCCACCAAATTCCATGTTTAATAACAATCGTAACACGTACATTGTGATGTCTGTTCCAACAGATGCAAGAAAACTAACTGACACACAGACACACACAGACCCACCATTTAACCTGTGTACACACTAAGTGCAGTTTGGTTTAGAGTTCACTGCCAGCACAAGAAACTCTTAACTGGAAATTTCCAGTTAAGATATTTAAGAGTTTTGGGCGGGCAGTCTGGTGTAGAGCAGCTGTTCGAATGTTTTACTGACGATTAGAAACTTACGGCAGTAATCTGGACTCCTCCACTCAATGCAGATATTAAACTTGTGACAGGAAGCCACATAGGCAGCCAAAGCTACACACTGGTTGTTGACATACTCTGCATCTCGTACCCAAACCTCACAAAATGTGCTGGGCGGGACCTGAAAACAAAAAAGAATTACAAGACAAGAAAATTATTCAAACACACTTATTACAATTATTATTATCACATATGAAGGAGCACTGAAGAAGTCATTAGTTTTGGGTCAAAGTAAGAGATTCTTCAGCACCTGTGCTCTGTTCTGCTTACGTCTACACATAATTCAGGTGTTATTGAGATTATTTTCTCAAGTCACATATTTTTGCTAGTTTGTGTCATGTAATTTGTCTTTTACCAACAACAAGTGAGACAGTGATAATGGCAGATAAATACATCAGTAGGATCTTGATAATTGGCTCATATAGGTATCTAATGTTCTTTATATTTTCATCCTGCCAACAAATAAAACCTGATTAGCAGCTTTCCTGGTTTCAGACAGAGTCCGGTTCCTCTGAGAGGAGAGGAAACTGGAAACTAGTTCACAGATGTGTTAACGTACGAAGGCATGGCAGGGGGAGAAGGCGGGGTTCTGCAGCATGAGCAGGCAGCTGGAGCAGTCGCTGGTGGAGCAGTTGAGCTCGCGCCGGCGGCTGTGGCTGATGTAGCTGGTGGTGTTGGGAACCTGCCAGCTGTCAATGAAAAGAGCTGGATCCTCGCTTACGCCCACTGTAGTGCCGTTGGCCAAAGTCAAGTCGTTGGTTGGGTCTCCATCACAGAAACCTAAGGTGGATGTAGGAGGGCGTCACAAAAACACTACATTTACATGAACCAAATAACTGACAGTTACATCATAACATGGGAAACACTGGTGTCATCACCCCTGTAAGAGGAAACAGTGTATAATGCTGATGCAGCCTGCAAACAAGACAAGTGTTTTTAAGAGCACTGAAGGATTCTGTGCAGTGAGTTCTACTGCAGGAGTAAGACTACTCTTACCACAGAGGCCCTTGGTTGGAAGCTTGTTGCTGGAGCTGTCGGTGTCGATCACCATCATGCCGGTGCTGTGGTACCACTGCAACTTGAGACCGGCAGGGCTGCGGATCAGGTACATGTTGCCCGTGTCGTAGATCTCAAAGCCGTACTTTTTGAATCGAGGTTTGGCATACCGTGAATTGATGTAGAGCTGAAGGAAAACAAGAAGTGCATGTAATCAGACAGAGCTTTAATCTGCTCACCTGGCACATAACATATACAGTAAAAATCAGGATGGGAAGGGAGTGCCTCTTACCCTCCTCTGCAGCCTGTTGATGACGATGTGGTTGGATTTGTGCGTGATGTTGAGCGCCACCAGACAAAGGTTGGTGAAATTCCAGAGGAGCTTAAAACAGGAAAAGAAAATCAGGTAGAAATGAATGACAAATCAAATCAGTGACTTTTGTTCCCATCATTTTAAGGAAACTTGACTTACCAGTGACTCAGAGTCAGCAGGACACTCCTGAACCAGGACACTGACGGTCTCGTTGGGCAGCTGGGTCACTATGTACGAGGCAGCCTTGTAGATGGCAACGCTGTTCCCATCAAACGTGATTACATTCAGGTCCGGAAACATCGAGCAGCGACCTGGAACATTAAGAAAAAATTACAATGATCTTCAAAAACCACCATACAAAACATACATCAGCTGATCATCGTCATTTAGCCCCGTCAAATGTAAGACAGCCCAGGGCAGAGCCACAATATTGTACACTCATAGATAGAATATTGTTTGTCTGTTTTCCTCACATGGACAGTCCCACTGAGGGCAGCACTTGTCTCCGTTGACCAGGATGGCAAAGCCGAGCAGGCCACAGTTCGGGGGTTCAGAGCTGAAGGGACAGCTCCGAGATTTGTTGAACAGGACGAGCTGGTTGTTGACGCAGATGTACTTCGTGCACTCATCAACAATCTCTGCATACGGAGGCTGGACGGAAACAAAATAAAAAAACTGAAAACCAGGAGTTACACAACAAAAAACATAAAGCACAGAGATATTTGTAAGCAGGAAAGAAAACAAATATTGTCATAGTTTAGTGTCAAAGAGGCTGATTTAACTTAAAATATATATAAACTCTCTAATGAGTGTGGAGATTCTCTGTGACAAAATATCACTTTTCCAGAGCTTTCAACCGCATCCCACGGCCTACATCAGCAACATGATACAATGTGATCATATACAGCCCTCCACTTTTCATCATGTTACAGAAGTGTCCATTTGCCCAAAAATGCCGTGGATACTCTCTGGAAAAAGTTAGTGACCCATGAGTTTAGAATATTCTATCACAAATAAACTGTGTTGAAATATGCTGATTGTATTTCTGCATAATATTAATAACTGTATCTACTGCTCTACATCAGAAAAATAAGATTTAAAGGGCCCATATTTTACACTCTTCTTGGGTTTTATGTGAAGTGTCCATAAGAAGATATATTTGTGGTTTTAAGAGCCAAAAACCATTTCAGTGTAGTTTTATATCTCCTCTCTCAGGCTTCTCTCTGGAGCTCTAGTAGCAACAGGTCAATCAGCCAATCAGATGAGAGGATCTGAGCCTCTCTTTTGATTGGCTGACTGTTTTGTGAGTGATTTAATAAAAATGTAGCAGATTTCAGGTAAACACTCCAGGTGGGCGGGGCTCAGGGCGTGGCTGAGAGCGGTGACTGCTACAGAAGTCCTGACGGCTCGATTTAAGGCTCAGTTTCTGAATACAGTCTGTGTGCATACTTTCACAGTATTAATATAGAACCTAGACCTGCTTTGTGATCAAAGAACACATGGACATCTCACTTTATACGACATGGGACCTTTAACACTGGCTGCTTGATTAAAGCTGCAGCTGGTGCTCTTATTTTGAATTAGCTTTCAGAATATTCCTTCATGGATTTTTTTTGGAAACAAAGTCAACATGGAAGTTGTCCGTCTACCAATATGTTCAAATTCTCCGATTGACAGGTTGATGAATAATAATTGAACCCACGGTGCACATCCTTGAAGTGGACACAGCCATGGACGTTGTGCTCTCCGCTGTATGTGTGGTCGTTTCCGCTGTATGCGTGGTTGTTTCCGCTGTATGTGTGGTCGGTGACGGCGGTGAAGGAGGTGTTGTTGCACCTGGACTGGTGCGATCCACTCTATCCAGCTCAGGAGTTTGGACCGTGGTGGCTACTGGGTGTGAAGTTGTAGCGGGAGTGGGTATACCAGGCTCCTGGGTGGAGATGATCACACCATGTGGAGGTGTCACCGGTTGGGATGTAGATGGTGACACGTCAGTCTCTTTGGTTGTCATAGTTTTCTCAGATGTGGCTGACTCTGTTGTGGTTGTCGTGGAGACGGCTGTAGATGCTGTAACTGTTGATAAAGTAGGAACAGGCACTGAGGCGGTTGTGGTGGTCAGGCCGGGAACTGCTGCGGTTGTTTCGGCGAGTTCGGTCGTGCTCGCTGTAGCGACTGACTCAGGAGATGTTGCAACGGTTGCAGATGGCGCTCCTGATGTGGTTGTTGTACCGGGAATTGGTGTGACAGTCGGCAGTCCAGGAGCGGTTGATCTAGTGGTTACTGTTGAGGGCCTCGCTGCTATGGTAACCCTTGCAGTGACCGGCCTGATGGTTGACCTCTCAGTCATTGTGATTCTTGTTGTCACAGGAACCCTGGGTGTCGTCCTGAGGGTTGTCGTCCGTGTGATGGTTGTAGTTGTTGTGGTGGGTGTAGCTCTGGTGGTGGACACCAGCCGGGTGGTTACTCTATCTGGGAAAGTTGTCGGCCTTGGAGCTGCTGAAGTGGTTGTGTGCAGCGGAGACCAAGATGAAGGCGGTGTGGTTGTAGCTCTTGTTGTCGCCTCCACTCGGCCCGTCACTGGATGTGTCGTATCTGTAATCGGCTGTGTGACGACAGGTCTAGGCGTGGTGGTAACAACACCTGGTGGAGCTCTTGTAGAGGCTGAGGTGAGAGGTGTCTCAGGAGCACCAGGTGCAGGTGGTGGGGGTGTTACCAGTTTCTTGGTTGTAGTGGCTGCAGTTTCTGTAGTTGATATTTCAGGATAAGTAGTAGTTCTGGTAGTGGAGGCCGTGGCAGCAGCTGATGTCGCAGAGGTGACAACTGGCTTTGTTGTTGTCACTGGAAGACGAGGTACTTCAGTAGTATTAGTGGAAGTGACCACATGGATGATAGATTCAGAAGTGACCTCTGGTGTAGTCTTCACTGTGGGGCTGTAGGCAGGGGTGGATGAGGTCTCCTGATGGGGAGGACGCCATGGCTCGGAGGTCCGCATGGTAGAGGCAGGATGAGCGGTGCTCTCTGTTGTTGGTGATAGTGGCACAGTGGTGGTTTCTGTGAGAGACACTGGCGCTAGAGTTGGTGGACCTGTGGATGCGGTGGAGGTTTCTGGAACCTCTGGAGGTCTTAGAGTTGTGGTCCGAGTGGTTCTCTCTGTTGTCGGAACGGCCACAGACCAGGAGGTTCTCTCAGTATGGGTTGTGGAGGTGGACACAGGAGAAGTCGTTGTGTCTGTACTCTTTGGAGTCGGAGGTGCAGCTGTTGTTGTGGTAGCTACAGGTATTTCAGACACAGTAGTTTCCTCTTTCTTTGTTGTTGTTCTCCAGTCTGTAGCAGCTGACGTAGGAGTAGGTGGTGCACTTGCAGTCGGTGCTACATGAAGTGGGGTTGATGTTGGTAACTCAGGAGCTGCTGTAGCGGAGGTTGTGACTTCAGTAGGAGTAGTATACTGAATCCTCTCTGTGGTAGCAGGTGGTGTTGTTGTTTCTGGACTTGTGTGTGGTGTTGTTTTACTGGTGGTGAAAGGTGAAACTGGTGTGACTGATTCTGTGATCTTTGCTGAAGTGGCTGTGGGCAAAGACACACTTCCTGTTTCAACAGGGGGCGAGGTCGGGAGAAGGGAAGCGGTTGTGAGCGCTGTGCTTGGTAAACCAGGAGGGATGGGTGTAGTTGTAGTTGGGGGAAGTCTCTCGGCTGTTACAGTCTTTGTACTGATGTCTGTGTACGCAGTGGTAGCTGTACTGGGAACAGTGGTTTTGTCTGTAACTAAAGTCTCTGAGGTTAGAGTGGGACCTGGACTAGAAGATGTTACAGTTGGAGTAACTGCTGCTGAATGTGTTGTAGCCTCTGTGGTCTCTTTAGCTGTGTGTAGGACAACAGGAGGAGGGGTACTGATGATGGTTGGCCACTCGATGGAGGTGGTGGGCGGTGCTGAGGGTCTAGTTGGCAGCAGGGAGTCAGTGGGCTTGGTGGAGGAGGTGAGCCAGAACAGAGCCGTGATGGCAAAAGGAGCGCTGCTGGTCCTGAATGTGCTGGAGCTGAAGGGGCTGGTGGTGGAGCTCAGAGCCAGGGTCGTACCTGTCACAGTGGTGGGAGGGGCTTCAGTCACTCTGACCGTAGACAGCGGCTCCACCACCTCTGGCCTGACAGCAGGGGGTGCTGTTGGCGATGATGGGGTTCCTGCTGTTCTTGAAAGTTCAGGAGTGGCAGAAGGAGTGGTGGGGGCTGTTCGCGTCGGCTCATCCGGGGCAGGTGGAGCCTTGGTGGAGGTGGTCTGTGTGCTGGTGGCAGGAACAGTGGCGGTGGTCTTAGATGTGGGACCAGTGTGTGGAGCAGTGGAGGATTTAGTGGAGACTGTGGTCTTGAGAGAGGTGGTGGAGGCAGCAGTGGTGGTGGTGGCTGCAGAGGTGACAGCTGTAGAGATCACCTGAGCAGTAGATGGGGTCACAGGCTGCAGAACAACTGGGGCCTTAATGCCTGAAACCAAACAATACAAAGTGTGTTAGAGAAGCACTGTAAATAAGGAAATGTAATATATGAAATATATGTCCCTATATCAACAGTGATGTTGCCAAATACGTGACCTATAAGGTGAATATTATTATCACATATATACATCCTCTGGATAAATAAAGATATAAGTTATAACTTATATATACTATTTATATGAAATTCCCATACTAAAATTTGTGCATGCATATATATAATAGCATGAACATTAGCATAAGCATAACACTGTACATATTATATAACTTTATTTTCATATTATTTATCTTTTTTAAATACTTGACATTGTCATTTTGCATTTTTTCTTTCTTGGTACTGTCCACGTAGCTGCTGTTACTCTGCAAATTTCCCCACTGTGGGACTAATAAAGTAATATCTTAACTTATAAATAATATTAGATATATTTAATTTATACATGCAAGTTTATTAAAACAACATGGACTCCACTGTACATACAGTGAGAAATATCTTTTTTCTTGTTTCTATAAGAGTGAATGATTTTTTGGTGGTGTAAGAAAATTGCCTTTGATGTACATATGGTTGTAATAAAAATAGAAGAGGGGTTGGAGGATACCTTTATTATAGATATTATAGATTATAGATACTTTTATTACCATTTTAATTACAAGACAACACCAGTGCTTACAAACTTTTCATTTCACAAATTTGTAGCTTTTGAGTTGTTTATAATTTTGAGATCCACATTTGTGAAATACAGGTGTGAGTTCTGGTTCATGAGCAACTTGTTTCACATTTTAACAAACTGTAGATGCCAACATCCACAAAGTATGGAGCACTGCAGAAAGGAGAAAATTGCCTTACTTTGTTTAATTTGGTGGTTACAAAGGTGTAAGTGGCAGGTGTAAGTAAAGATTTTAATAAATAACACCATCAAAGTTTTTTTAATTGCCGTCTACTTTCAAAAAACAGTCCCTCACTGTGTAATCCCACCACTCAACACTGTGTACTAAGAAATCAGTTCAACAACTGAGGGAAAAAAATCAGGGGATACTCACAGTCTTCAACATAGACACAGCGGCGGGTGACCTCATCCAGGACCATGTGTGGGGGGCAGACAGGAAGGCAGCCCTCCACTCTGTCCAGAGAGCAACACATTGTTATATGTCCACTGTATAATAAAGATCATTACTTTCGGGTTATGGAATATATTGGTTATAACTAATATCTATTATCTAATATACTAGAGATTTGAACATCAGCTCCACACAAAATTCATCATTCGTCATTTGGGGAAAAACACAAATACTAATAATATGGTGCATGGAATTTTTCTATATGAAATAATTTCACTTTTCCTACACAAAATGTAATGTAGCACTGATTATTCAATCTGGTATTTCTGACTCAAGTAATGAGACAAACATCCTTGAGAATGATATCTGATAATATCTAATATCTAATGGTATCTGATGTCCGAGGGTCAGTCCAGACCTGATGTTTCACTCAGACTCTAATAGAAACTAACAGTCTACAAACTGCTGTAGCTGTTGAAGTTAAGGAAAAGGTCAAAGGTCTCACTGTGGGATGGTGACGCAGGCCTCAGCCGACGGGTCGCTGCAGGTCTTAAAGCAGGGGCTGACGCAGGAGTCGTACCTCCACTGACACTGAGGACCTGGACGAGCTTCTGGGTTGGAGCCTGATGTAAAACAAACACTTTTCACTTTCACTTCAAGATCACACAAAAACATAAAATGTTTTTTCTCAATTGGCATCTTTAAACAATTAAAATTTTAATTCTAATTTAATATAAATTTGGTGCTCAAAGAAGCAGCATACCGACATAAAAATGAATGAACTGATTCATTATAAAATAGACTGATGAGCATTTTTTCAATATATTAAACTGTTGTCCAACTAATTTAACCCTTGAGTAGCTTTACATTTAGAAAAAACATATTTATCACGCGTGACAAATCACTTCTGTTCATTGTGACACTTTGTTAAAGTTTCATCAGTTAAATGCATTATGTTAAGTTTGTAATAGTTGTTTTACTTCATATTCTGGATGACGTGCTTTCTTTGGAAACTGTCAACTTAAGTGAAATGTAAAATACAGTTCTGTGGTTTTGAACAAGTGTAATAATGGAACCATCTGTGGTTGTAGCAGGTTCAAAACTGTTAAAACATACTTAATAGCCTCAGTTTAACTGCTAATAGGCTATTGATGTGAAACATCAATTGCACTGACAGTGTTGTATAAGAAAAGTAGATCATGTTACTAATCTACTGTCTGAAAAGGATCCAGAAATGTTTTCACAGACCAGTAATGTGATGAACTTAGAAAGCCATTAATGTCTGTCTCATGTCTGGACTTCAGCCCTCACTCCGCATGTCTGTGGCATTCACTGCTGTCAGCAGGAAATCCAATCTGCTATTGGCCGCTGCGCCTTTTCCATTAACTAAAACAAATGCTGCCGTATTTTTAGCATCAGCGATTAGTCTGACTGCTGAGCAAGAGGAAGAGGAAACACCAGTCTTGACCTTTGACACCAGAGAGAAGAGATGAACTGAACACTTAGAAAAGCTCGAGCCTCAACAGGAAAATTCATAAACGCATCTTTTACTGACAAAGTCTCTGACCCTCATCAGGTAAAACTCTCTGTCAATCAATAAACACTGTGCTGACACAGAGGCACGTTGAACTGGCCATAGAAAAAACAACTGAAGACATTCGTCTGGTAATTATGATCTCCATGTAGCATAATAACGACTTGTAATGAGAGAAATATATCACATAAATTCTAGAAACATTTCACTTCACTTTTCAGTTCAGTATTTTCCAGCTCATTTCATGGAAACTTTCCTCATAATTTCCAAAAACTCAGCTGGTATTCAGCTGTTAATTGCCAGGATATTTCCAAGAAAGGGCTACACAGTATTACAAGGGAAATTAAGACTGCAGCTCAGTAACCCTGATGATGGTGATGTGATGTGTTTGCTTCAGTGCTGCCGACCTGTCAGCCTGAACAGCGTGGCCTTGCGGAAACTGTTGGTGTGTCTGTATTTGAGCAGGTGGAGGTGAAGCAGCGTGGCGTGCAGGAAAAAGCTGGGCTTCGCGTGGGACTCCAGCGAGTCGTAGCCGGGGATCCAGGTGTTCCTGTGGAGGATGAAGGTGGCTCCGTCCCAGAATGCCTTGCTCTCCTCCCACTTGGCCAGCCTCAACTGGCCACTGGGGCTCACATACAGGAAGTAGTTTGGTCTGTCAGCTGCCTCAAAGGAAACCCGTGATGTGTCTGTGTAGATGAAAACAAAAATGATTAGTCAGTATGCCAGGAAGCAGGTGAAGGAACATAGGAAAAAACACTGAGAAGAAACACAAGCATTATGTGTTTGATATATTAAATATGAACATATGATAAAAGGACTGAGCTTATGTGTTTCTGTTCAACCTGAACGCCCTGCAATGCCTCACATCCACTTATGCACACACACACTCACACATCAATGGTAGCAGAACTGATTGTGTAATGGGGATGAATGTCTAGTATGTTAGCAAACATTAGACAGGAATGAATTTGAGAATGAAAGGAAAAATTGAATATATATGCAATGGAACAAAATGTGGCTGAAAAAGATCCAGAGTGCAGCGGTATCTCAGTAAATCTCAGTAAACAGTGAGAGCAGCTTGTTTCAGTCTTGGCTTGCTGACCAGCTTGTAGCTCAGGTTGCAACATTAGCATTTTGGCGATCGGATCTCTGAGCCCGTCTGCCACTGGAAGTCAATGGAGGGCCATCTCCTCCATCAGTGTTTTCACCGGGACACTCAAATCATTCCAAACACTGTCGAACGCAGAGGAAACAGAGGAAGAGGAGAATGCCAGCAGAAAGAGTTTCTCTGTAAAACGCTGTGCAGACGGAGGCAGAACGGCCGGAAAACAGGATGACAATGGGACGATCTTCTGTAATATTAAGATTGAGAGAATTGGCGGATGTGTGGCTGACAACACCAAGCTCACCTGGACATCAAATCTAAGAACTTCTCAATAACCTAAGAGTAAGGTATAAAAATGTCAGTTGGCTTTTCCTCCTGTAAGCATTGTGGTTAAGGGAGTGGTGTTCTCAGAGAGAAGGTCAAGTTAGATGAGAAAACATAGCACTGTCGTATCTACACACCGATCAAACGTTCCCAAACTCCACTACACAAGTTTCCTTTCATGCACTGATACTGTATCTACTGTATCCTGCATTAGTGAAGCAGATAGTGACACTAAATGACTGTAAAATAAAACTATAAAGTTTCTCAACTAATCACAAGGTTCCCACACTTGCTCAGACATCAAATTCAATGACAATTACATGATTTTCAAGGTCGTCTTCAAGGAAATTCCCACTAACTGCTCTTGTCAATTTAACAGATAATTTCAGTTATTAGTTGCAGCTAGTTCTTCTGTCTATGGCAATTTACACTATATTATTATAAAATATTAAACTCCTTTGCCTTTGCTGTGTGATATTCTTTGGACATTTAAAGACTAAAAAAAATGACATATTCAAAGGGAAAAATATTAATTAGATTGGAGCTGTCTCATTTTTAATCCTGGTCTTGTCAAGACAAGAAGAAATTCTTTTTTATTTTTGGTTGCTATGGCAACACGTCTCAACCACAGGGTTTTCCTCTTAAGTGTCTGTACTCCCAGAGAGAGGGAGAGAGAGAGCTGAAGCACGTGAATTTAGGTTCTGCTGTGAATCTAAAAATAATATTTAGATGATTGTGAGTCGGTTGAATTAAATCTTTTCCAAAGCAAAAATTAAGAAGAAGGCTGTGGAGAGAGGAGGAAGAGTGTTGCGCAGAAGACATAAATAATAATAATAAATAAACAAATAATTCCAGAGTCAGTTTTTGGAGTGACAAGAATCATGTGCTGTAAATAAAGTTAACTCACCATGTGGTCGGGCTCTGCTGAGGCCCGGTGTCATCATGAACTGTGACAAGATGCCAGTGGTGGTGGTACTGCTGAGGTTGGCCTGCTGCAGGAACACAAAGCCGCTGGACCTGCCGGCTACCAACACTGTGGTCTGATCCCTGAAGGCGACGAGTCTGAACGGGCCTTTACCCAGAACTACAGACAGGAGGCCACGTTAGTGCTGCAGCGCGTTAATGCAGTTCTCGCTCATATACAACAGATCACACATACTCTAAATCTGTGACGAATGAATTTAAGATAAAATGACTAAAATGAATAAAAATGGTCAACAATTACAACATATTGATTAATTACAGATGATCAAGTCTGAATGATGAGTTTTAGTCAAGTAGCTTCTTCTAGGTCAGAAGAGAAAATGTCATACCTTTGTTGAAGAATTCACAATCATACGCTGCAGAGAGAGGGGAGACAGTTAATGATAATAATAAGGGTAATAAACATTTCAATCAGGTTGATAATCAAGTGTTAATGTGTTAATGTGGTACACCATCATTTTACAGAGCTTATAAGCTGCTACAGAAGGCTCTACTAATGGTTAATGATTTATTAATGTTTCATGAGTTTTTAAGTTAAATTCTTATGAAAACTGATTTCAAGGAGGATTTCTACAATCCTTCGTGGTACAGAGAAGTAACGCAGGTTTTTTGCTCCTTTAATTTTCTGCGTTCTGACTTACGGCACAAAGAGGGCGAGCGCCAGTCGACAGGAACGCCCTGGTGGCAGCATCGCTGGGCGTACGCCGCCACGCTGGTGCAAAAACACTCACAGTCCCCTCCTCTGCTGCAGCCACATGTGTCTGCCAGGCAGTTCATGTAGAACCAGGTAACATCCACCTGAACATGAAGAAAAAACAAAACACTTTCTTTCACAAACCTCAAGGATTTGTAGGAATTGGATGGAGTTTGGTAGATTATGAATACATGAGATGGAGAGTTAGGTTGTTTGTTAGCTGTAAAAGACAGTCAATGAGCAGAGCAACATGACATACCCAACAGATCTCTAAAGAGCCCGAGCTGCAGGATGGAGGGCTGCTGTTGTACAGTTACTCACCACTGGGTGGCAGGCCTGGAAGACTTCACTGAGCAGGACGGCACACTGCCGCTTAGCAAAAGGCTCTCTGAGTGGACTGAGGCTGCAGGGGTGTCTGACATCTGGACTGTTCACACACTGAAAACACACACAAACACAGTGGTGTTAAATGACATGTTTTTATTAGAGGATGAGTAGTAAGGACTTAAAAATAATTTTCTGTAATAAGATTTCTATACATTTTACAAAGGAAAGGGAAAAAACAAACAACAACAACACAGTATGGTTTTAAAAGTGTTTTATGTATAAAAATTAAAAAAAGGTTTTTCTTACTTATAATAATTACTGTCATTAAGAATTTCATAATGTAAAATGTCTCTATGGGTTAACTATTCTCACACATCTCGCTCCACTTCAGTTTGTTAATGTGTGTTGTGTTACACACACATATTGCCTGTGTGTAATGTTTCTAGATTTAGCTCCAATCCCTATTTTACTTTGACAAAAAAATCTAAATAAATCTTGAATTTTAGGATCAAACACCTTTTTTGAGTTAAAAGGAGTTAGGTTTTTGAGTTAGGTTCCTCGTTTGAATTTGAAACAATGGCAAACATCATTTCACACTGTGAAGTGCTGGAACAAGCAGATACAGAATAAGAAACTGTTATTTTACTTCAAAGCTACTTTGTTGAAAAATGTAACAGTTGACACTCACCTCTGCTGCAGTCCAGCTGTTTCCAAACTCCTGTGGTGTCGGGGAATCGATGTTGTCAGGCGTCCGCATCTCGTTCACCGTCTTCAGGTCGAAGTTTCCACACAGCCCACTCAGCTTCCCCTGAACACATCACCAACATCTCTCTCCATATCATAATCTCCTTACTGTCATATCTTCTTCACCTAACACACTGAACCTCACTGTCTATTGATGTTGATCGATGTGATCAGCATTGTTGCAGTACAGTGTCTAATCACTAGTGGCAGCACTGAGCACACCGCTGTTTGTTTTATGAACATCTGTGTGACTAGAATTTTCAGGTTTTCTCTTATTTCTACCATAAAAGCAAACAACAAATCATTCAAATATCTAATAAATCAATCTTAACTGAAGGTCCACTTACTTCCTTGTTCCCCACCTTTCAACCACATCACATGGTCTTCATCAGGAGATGGAATTTGCCAGCACAGATGAGAAGTCATAAGAGTGCTCATAATGCAAAGATTTAACACCTACAGTTCTATGATAACTCAACATACTCCATCTGCTGATGACAACCATGTGATAGGGTCGAAAGCTCTCATACAAGCAAGTAAGAGGACCTTTAGTTGAGGCTGTTTTGTCAACTATTATTTCAAGTCAAGCATAAACTGTCAAGCTCAGCTTAAAATATTATTTATCTTCATCAGGGAGGACAAGGGGAGACAAGAGCAACGGGACTGATGGGAAATGTGTTTGTAGTCACTCTAGATAAGAGCTTTGGCTAATTGCTCCAAATGCAAGCCAGAGAGACACGTCACAGAACCGGGGTCCCTACCTGCCAGCGAGGTCCGACCTGGATATGGACTGTGGTCTTACGGTCCCAGAGGACAGTGACGTCTTCCTCAGGGAAGTGAATCACTGTGAAGTATCCAGCCGGCCAGATGAACATCCTCTGCTTCCTGTCAATCACACTGGATGGATTCTACATAGGGAAGTTGAATTTTACAGAAATATTCTCAACTGTTATTCTCATGGTGACTTAAATATGACAATAACTTCCATATTCTATATTTTATGTTTATTTCATTTAAATGTATGAGATTATACTGCAAGTGTGCTGCTGGAAAGCAGCATTATTCTTTTAAAAAAATCTAGAAAATGTATTGAAAGTGTCTCTTACTGGCTTCCCAGTGTCATCATCAAATGCTACGAAGGATCTTCCGATGTTGATCAACAGCGATTTCCTGCAGATGACTCCGCTGTCGAAACAATCCATGTTCTCCGCTGAAACACTGAGCATCACATCTGCGCTGCTCTGTGGAAGAGATCACAGAAAATATATACTGTAAATGACAGCAGTGTTTGTAACTCTATCAGTTACTTCAGAATAAAAGTCTGTTTTAATTAACCCCCTGAATTTATCATTTTAACTGCACAACTCCAAATTTCTTTACATTTTGATGCTTCTAAAATAAAAAATGACAAAAATGACAAATTAGCTGATGTTCCATTTTATCTTTTAACCCAATAAGAACAGGTCTGCTACATTTTACTCGTTTTACTTTTAAGGACCAGCGTGTTGGATTTAGTGGCATCTAGTGGTGAGGTAGTAAATTGCAAGTAGCTGAATACCCCTCCCTTTCCAAGGATGTGGGAAAACATATGGTGGCCTTCCGGTGACGTAAAAACGTCTCTCGAGCCATTGTTTGGTTTGTCCATTCTGGGCTACTGTACAAACAAGAACAACATGGCAGGCTCCATGAAAGAGTACACACTCCCTATCTAAGCTACTTTGTTTCAGGTGATTATACATAACAAAAAATTATGAATATTATATTCCATCTCTGCCAATAGATCCCCTAGATCCTACACACTGGTCCCTTAATACCACAATAATTATCTGACCTGTCAGTACAAGAAAAGGTCCTTATTTACTGCAGAGATCAACTTTTGTTGCATGGGGAAATTAAGTCCAGGTGAAAATCTTATATAGCTCATATTTTTCAATAAAAAGCTGATACATCTCCCAAAGTACCCCCCAAAAAACAAAAACTAAAAGCCTTAAGTGTACAGATGAATGGCCAGTGGGTTAAAATATGCAAAACCAGTTTTAGTTCTTTTACCATATATAAATACTTTCAATACCTTTACAAGATAGACTTTGCAAGCACCAACATAGTCAAACAGTAGGCCGTCAAACGTCCTGTAGTGGCGATCACCGTAAGCCGTGCACATGGATGGACACGGACGAAACACACACTGGAACGTCCCATGCTGGCAAACACTACAAAGACAGCAAAGCTCGAGTGATTCAGCATCAACTTGTTCCCACTTAGTGCAAGGACATTTTTTTCATGTCTAATGGCCTCCTTTTGTCCCGAGCCTCAGGTTTACAGCCGGCAGAAAAGTGGCCAGTGAATTGTCAAAGGCTGAATCACCGCTCATTGCGCTATTAGGCTGTCATCTACATCTACTTGGCTATGGCTTGAAGAGGAATTGGAGGGATGGGAGAATGACTGAGATCACTGGGAGAGTGTTTCCTTTCACCAGTTCATGAACAGTCTGAAGCAGAGGGAATCAAAGAGTCATACAAGGGCCCGCTCTGTTTTCCAGGCCTTTTTTCTGTCCTGTGATAGCGGAGAATTATGGATATCAGGTGGCCACTTTTGCTGCTCTGACAATCTCAGGTCTCATCGCTTTCAGGCAAGGATCTGACTTAGAAAAAATTAGTAACGTTGTTGGAGATTTGTCTTAATCCTGACAGATATTGTTGGCAGATGATTGATGAGGGAAATACAAATTAGTACACCAAGGAAAAATGGATGATGACGCACTGCAGGAAGGAAGGAGAACTGAATTGAAGGGTAAAGATAATGTGGAAACAGAGACCAGATGTTGTATTTTAATGAACAAAGTTGTGTAAAAAACGTAATCTGATTTTATATTTGGCTGTGTCCCCACAAATGCATGAACATACCACTGATGGCAGGGGGAGGAGACTCTGTCGCCTGGGTAATACTCCTTTCCTTTCCACAGACAGGGGCAGGCTGCAGGTTCAAAGCACTCATCTCCATGTTTCAGCAAGCTGGGAGCAAGCACACAGATTTGGTTAAGGATAAAACTGTTTTAAAGCTCTTTATTTACTGGTACGGAAAATCAAGCTTGAATGTTGCGGTTTGAGATCAACACATTCTGATGCACAAATATGTTTTGTTGGTTTAAACCCTGAAACTGTATCTCCTTAACCTAGGCTTTTTTCAATTATTATCACGAAAGAGTGAAAAATGTCCCAGAGTTCATATTCAAATTGTTTGTTTTGTCTAACAAAAAGAGAAAAAACAGTAAATCCTCAGATTACAGAAGCTGGAACCAGAGGATGTTTCACATTTTTGCTTGATAATTGACTTAATCATTATATTGATCATGAAAATTGTTGCCGATTAATTTTCTGTCAATCAACAAATGACAAATCAAAACTGTGAAGGGGGGATATATGTAAGTTTTCTCTGCCACTGATCATAGTTTCCTGCTGGGAGCAGGAAAGCCAAGAGCTTCAGCCATTGTTACACTTACAATTCAAGAGGTTATAATACGCCCTCTGAGCAGCGCTACGTCTTCAGGGCAGACTGGACAAGTAATGTAAAGAGAGGGGCTGACCAGGCCGGGACTACCTGGTTAACATGCTAACCTAATCAGACTTTACCATAGAAAAAGCTGATGTGAGTCATTTAAGGGTTTTTCTTACAAACACTGACAAACAAAATCATTTAAGCACGAAGACATCTTTAATCAAACTTTTCACCATCGGACCAAAGGTAATCAGTGCATGTAGTTGCACGTGAAGATCGATGTAAAGCCAAGCAGAGCAACAATACACCTGGATGAGGTGTTCATTCAAATCATGAATAGGCCGATGATAGAGCCTCATATCTCACAACACTAATGCGAAGCTGTGGCCGTTATTGTTCAGGAACTATGGTCTAACAGGATGCTATCAAGTTATAACATAATCGTGATTTGGAGCTCCTGTGTTCATCTCTAACCCAGATATGAGGACTTGTCTTTTGCCAAGAGAATGACAGAGGCAGAGCCAAAGCAGGTTAGCTTCCAGAGCAGAGCGATGCCAGGAAATGAGAGAGAATTTCAGGGATGGGCGACTGTGGATGAAAAGCGGTAACACTCGTTGGCTACATGAGAAAACCAGACAATTAGGATTCTCAGAGATAGAGAGAGAAACACTCTTTGTCTGGATCCCTCCATTTTCTTTCCACTCTGCGAGACGAAGCTGATAAGTATCTTGTAATATCCAGGGTTGAGCTATATCCACTGGCGAGGCAGCAGACAATGAAGTGACATACTGAATGGTCCCGCCGCAAACCTCAGGTTCATCTGAGTAGAGTTACACCCCAGATAAAACGGTGTTAACAGCTTCCTTTATCCCCCCGCCAAGCCACTGTATCAATTACTCCGATCAAAGATTGTAAAATCATTCTTTCTCCCGACTTATGTGCACATCATGAATAAATCCTCATAAACACGGCTCTCATTTTGATATTTCATTTTATCGGGCAAGGTAAAAGTGACTGAGGAAGATGTAGCTGCATAGTGTGGCAAATGGCGGTCAGGCGGCACGGTGGGTCGAATGCAGTCTGTGATGCATCTGGTGCAGTGCCAGGTTATGCAGACCCACTGGAGATCACACGTTTAATTATCCAAGGTAACAAAAGTGGAAAGTGTCACATTACTGTCACTAGCCTTCAGTATCTGATGAGGCTTGGACCTACGTTATGAATGTCAGATCTAACAAATCATTCCATGTGCTGCTAAGTAGGCCAGTGAAATAAGTAGATAAAATTTTCCATGATAAATAGTGCGGGGAAAAACTTTGCATGTCTTCCCCATTTCTGCCAGACAATGAGAAATAGTCTGCTTCCTCTGAATGGCCTCATCGTTTTAAGTTGTTCTTAGTTGTTACAGATGATAATAATAATAATAATAATAATAATAATAATAATGATGATAATAATAATAATCATGATCATAATAAGCTTGAGATAAAATAAGATAAAATTAAGAATGGACAATAAAATAATAAATGAAATAAACAGTTTAAAATGTTTTACAAAATTAGGGACGAGTGCGACAATGAGTTACAGAACTTTCTAAAATGATTAAATGAATCGATAAAATAAGAAACAGGAGAATAATAATAATAATATAATAATAGGTTTGAGAAGTAAATTCAAAATTTGTTCTAATTCTGCAGATCTAAAAAACATTCAGTTCTCCCAGGTTTTTTTGTAGCACTCAAATGTTTCCAAATACCATTGAGTCATGTCACCTGAGAGGTTTGAGATTATCTTGTGTACGTCCTTATTCTGCATCGTATCACTCTCTACTTGTTTGTAACATCCCAAAACCCCTCCAACCAAGCAGGCAACAGTTTTTTCCGTTGTATGTACATACTGTAACCAAAGCCAAATTCCCGAAATGCTGCATGCTGGTCCCGCGTTGCACCTGAAAGTCCAGGTTCATACGAGTTCAGCTGGGCTAATTGACACAGAATGAGGAATGAATGAATGGTCTACATTTTTATCATAAACAAAGTGTGCCATTGTGAATGAAAACACAATGGGTTCTTCTGTCAGCACCTCAGCTAATTATTTCCCATTAGAGGTTTTAAGTCCTGCTGCAGATGAATACCTCACATTTCAGTTTGAGTTAGGATCTTTTTTTTCTGTTTTCATGGTAATCATCTGAGTGTTGTACTAATATGACAGAGCAGGCAGCTGCTTATCATCTGCTGTCTGTTTTCCAAAGGACCATCTGAAGATGGAGCACTGAGGTTATTGCAGGCCGACAAATACGACAAATACGACAAATACGACGGATAAAACGCAAAACAGAAAAACCTTCTTAAGACATAAAAATGAGAATGTAGTAGTGGAAGTAAGTACATTTACTCAAGTATTGTACTGTAATTTGATGTACTTGTACTTCACTCGAGTATTTCAATTTTCTGTTGCTTTATACTTTATACTCTACTACAACTCAGGGGAAAATATTGTATTTTTCAGTCCACTACATTTATTTGATAACTTTAGTTAATAGTTACTTTACATATTAAGATTTATAAAACACAACGATAATTGGTTGAGAAAGGATCGGTCAGCCAATCAGAGGAGAGCCTCTGAGGCTCTGTTTTCTGAGTGACGCAGTAAAGGCAAATAAGAAAGTTCAATCAGCGCTGGAATGAGCCGATCAGACAAAAAAATCGCATCATCAAAATCGGACTAAAATTCTCCGGCTGGATTTGGTGTGGAGCTACCGAAGCCTTGGGCCTGGTATTGGTTCAAACACCCGGAACATCTGGTGGCGTCGGGGTGACCGTCCATAGTGTTCCAGTGTTCAGATTTAATGCAGTGGAGTTGTGAGTGAGTGGTGGAGTCCACTGCCCCTGCGTCCAGCTCACTCTCCTTCGCTGCTAGACCCTTCAGGCGAACTGGTACTGTGCCAGTGAGCATTGAGGCCAAGGGTACATGGCTGCAGAATTCAAGGCCATCAGGAACAACAGGGAGGCGGGTGATCTTGGGCAACAAGAGTGGAATCTGGCGAGTGGATTACCAGGAGAAGTAGCTGTCTGCTCTTCCATCGCTGACTTTAAATGGGATTGATTGGGACTGCAGACGAGAGACCAGCGGCGACGTTAAGGTGAATGCAAGCAAGGAACTTTTACCAGCAGCAGCATGACGACGGCGGATATGTGGTAATGAAGGTGGAATTATACTTTGTCTGGGCAGCAGCTATGGAAACAAAGCCGTCAAGCAGTTACTCAATCTCAAGGCAGTATGTGTCCAGACACACACACACACACACACACACACACACACACACACACACACACACACACACACACACACACACACACACAGACATGATAAAAGCTGGTTTTCAGTCCAAGTGTAATTCATAAAACATCACAAGTGATAAAACAGGAAACCTAAAACAGCAAGTTCAAAGTAAACACTTTTTTTCAGATTCCGCCTCAAACACGTAAAACATGTCGTACATATACAAACTTTTTTGATCTTTCTGCTAGTTAGTGATATAATCTATTTTTAGTTTTCCAGTATCACCACATCATGTTGTGTCTAAGAGAACCTTTAAATCGTCTCCCTGTCACTGCACTTATTAATACTGCTGTCATCAGCCTGAATGAGATCTTTGTGTCCATGTTTACCACAAATTAGTTCACAAACGATCAAGTTTAAGGGAGTTTTTTAACACCCTTACTGTGACTGGCATTTTGGAAGTCAGAGTTGACCATAAAGGTCGTTATGCTTGTGGACAAAAGGATTAAATGAATCACGCCAGTGAGGTCAGCAGAGATGACGCAGGGTTGAGATGACCACGAGGCATCTCCATATCTGACTGACCTTTTCTCTGTGTCACTGTGCTTCATGATGTTAGACGATATACTGCACGAACCTGGTGCTATTTATAGACCAGGAATTACAAGAGGAAGGGGGAACCTCGGTCATAATGCACATGTTTCATTTCTAAATCAATCAAAATATATTGTTACGTTTGGTGCTAAAAAAAACATTCTTTACTTCAAGAGATTTTTGTTAAAACTCTGAGCTTTTTACTGTGACAACAAAATATAATAGACTATAGATTACTACCTACTGGCGAACTGCACTTCTTCTTTTAGGATATGGCTTAGCTTAGTTTATTTCATAGTAAGTACGTTTACTAGATTAAAAAATATATCTGTTTGAGGTCATTCCGATGTAGTGTGGACATTAGAGCATTAATTTTCAACCATATTTTTTGATATGTTTTTATGTTATATTGTTATTGGATTTTTCAAATATTCAGATCAATATTAGTCACCTGGGTTTGTTCAGAACGTCGGGTCTCGCACAACGATGACACAGTAGTGACGATTCTCTCTGACCAATCTGAGGTCTCCAGTGTTTTCATGCCGCTTTTTGGTATCAGTGGAGCTGATACCAAAGACAGTACCAGGTACCAGGTAATATCCACAACCTTTGCCTGATGGAGTCGAGTGGAGCTGGTACCATGCAGTGGAAAAGGGCTATTAGTGTATTGAGACACCTGTCAATCAATTTGCGAATCATGGCAGCTTCTTCACCTGTGTTGTGACACTTTTGTTTACATTTAAAACATGGATTGGGCTTTTCGGTATCTGTGTTACCAAATGCCTTTGAAGGTGGATTATTTTATTATTTTATTATATCATTATTCATTATTTTTATATATAATATTCTTGCATTTTACTTTTTAGTTTTGTGTTCTACATTTTGTATTAAATTTTAACCACTTGGTTTCACATTTTATCTTGATGTGTTATGCTTGTTCTAGAGCAGTGTAGATGTTGTTACAGTGTAGAGCTACCATCAGTCAGCTATGAAACCTGTGTCATAAACCGGTACATGTTTAAACTGACCCCTGCCTGTTCATATTGTAATCGGGATGACTCCTGGTTGATGTCGCAGAATGAAACCACTTAACCCTCTTTTCAGGCCGACAGCCAGAGGGGATTAAAGGGATCGGATGACTGTAATCTACTCCGTGATGTCTGTCCACCTCATCTACTGGTTTTAGGGACTTTTGTGCACCGGAGATGATCTGGAGTCCGTTTAAAAGCATGTGGCTGGTATTTCTTTAAATCTCCACATATCAGCACGTGGCTTGGAAAACGTCTTTCAAATTAACTTTCTGACCAAGCTGAACAAGTTAACTTTTAAAACCTTTGAAAACTAATGGAACACATTCAGTGCATCAACCTTAAAAACACTGCAAGAAAGTTTTGCAAGAAAAACATAAAATGGTGGGAAATATTTACAGCAAGATTTTAGTGTATAGCAACCACAATCAATTTTGCAGATCACATGACGCCCCCTGGCCCAAAACAACTCTTTCTCATACACAGTTGTCACTAAAGAACTAAAATGATGGATGGCTTTTTCTAAGTGTCCAAACACTCAATAATTACTCTATATAATCAGAATTAAAGCCATTATAACCAATAAAAATGAAAACAATTTCAAGACACGTGATATTCATGTGTGTGAAGAGTCAGCGATCTCAGCCAGCGGAAAACTCTAATGCTCATGACGTCCAGATCAAAAACAATTAAGCCTGAAGAACCTTAAAATGTTGTTAGTTGTGTGCACCTTGTGAGCATCTTCCATTTTGGATAAAATATCCTGTAGATTTATTCATCCATTGGTTTAGAGGAAAAATATTCAGCACATGGAGCTAAATTGAAGTTTGCTGTGTCTGAAACTGTGCACTCATATGTGATTGTTGAATGTGTCGAATGTGGTGGTGACCAGCATCAGCAGGTAGGGGGATGTTTTTGATCACTGACCAAGTGCCATCCTCCCGTGTCAGAGGATTATAACTGGTTCGTGTGAGAGTCTTTCACTCGTGTCAGTCCAACCTCCTCCTGACCTCAGTGACACCGTCAGCCTGGTCCACTCTACACACAACTCGCACTTGTTTCTTAACCTTTTCTTACTAAATGAAAATTCATGCGCTTTCAGTGCATTTTCAGAACCACATTAATGAGGTTTAGAACCCTTTGAGTTTCTGTAACAACAATTTTCCAACTGCTGTGAGGATTCAAACCAGCAACCTTCCAGCCTCTAACTCTCTGGTCACAAACAAATGAATATGAAACATGTCAGCTCCTGAAAAAGACAACGTCAAGGCCATTCAGCATTGAGGAGGGTAATGAATGAATTGTATGTTGAATGACAGAAATTAATGGCTGTATGTTGCTGTGATAGTATATAGTTGGTAGTGCACTGAATTATTTGTCAATGTGAATTTTCTGGAAACTTGAGTTTGATTAAATTATTCCATTGTAATGTAGCCAGTCATGAACTTCCATACACAACTATTCAGTGTTTGACAAAATAACTACAAGACGTCACTCACCCAGGAGGGCAGGTACATCCAGCCACGCAGGGCTCGTGTGTCGAGCAGGTGAGGTTGAGCAGGTAGGATTCACAGGTGCGCTCACAGGCCACGCCCCTTCCCGGCAGGATGCCGTCCTCCCCCTCTGAGCAGTTCTGGTAAAGCTGACCTGCCGGACACAACCTGTCTGCAAGAATTGATGGAGGAATCACGAGTTAGCAAGATGCTTAAAAACAAGTAAACAAAAAAGTTTACAAGTAAACAAACAAACAAATTCATATCTATTCTCTTTAAAAACATTTTGAAATGAGTGACCTACCACTGTCTGTTGTCTGAGACACCAGTTTACCATTCAGACAGAGCCTGCAGGGGAAAACAGACAGGACTTACATGAATACAGAAACAACATGGGAAGTTGATTTATGAAAATACATGAAATTAAAGCCAACAATGTCTCAGAGACAATTCCAGCGTAGTTCTAGTTTTTACTGCTTTTCAGTATTGTGGTAAGTTTTCTTTACACTGGCCCCAAACTGAGTCGGCCTTTCTTGAAAATATCCACGTAAATACCAGAATAATTTTTAGGAAATAATCATGAACCTTTCTAGGAAATTAGATGGAAAATAAAGTGTTTCTTAAAAGTGTGTTTGAGCAAACTCTCGTTAATTATTACTTATTAACTAACTAACATTAAGGGATGAAAAATGTAAATAAAAAAACAGGCAGAGGCTGGGAGGAGGATCTTACTGAACACCTGCTGACGTCATGATCACATCTCCCGCCTCGTAATCTGCTCCAAGGAAACTACAGGGACACTCGCTCCTGAGAAAACACACCAGGAAAAAAAAACACACACACACACACAAAAAAAACACAGAAGACCAAGTCAGATCAGTGATCCAGTTATTTGAGATTATCAATATAAATTGTTTGTTGCTTGTATACGCACAAGCTCCAGATTTCCAACAGAAATATTACATCCAAACTCGCACATCAGGCTCTGGGTGATGTAAACCAGACGCTGCTCAGTTTGTTTATTATTGAGTGCGTGTTACAGTAACACAGAGAGCGCAACAGGTAAGTGGATAGAGGACAGATAAGCAGGCTTTAAAGTCAGTGCAAAAAGGGTCGAAACCACGGCCAAACCTCCTTCGAAAAACATCAATTTAGACAAAATTCTTATTATATAAAATAAATATATTACAGTGCATCAATGTTGTGGTTAACTGTGTTTAGCGGTGGCTGAGAGCCTTTGTAACATATAGGCCAGCGGCACACATCGGCCTCTGTACTACAAATTCTTTCTCACTGGTTATCAGATATCTGTGTCGTCCCCAGTCCGAGTGGGAATGAAAGGGGGGTTTCACGGTGAATTCCTTGATGTAACTCTATCACATGGTAAGTAAGGCACCGCGCTGCACTAGGATGTAAAAACCTGGGACATTTAAGAGGAATTAAGCTGCATGTCTTCTAGGGCAGAGCAGGCTGAAAGAGAGAACACAATTACTGAGGTCTCTGGCTCTGTAACGTCTGCAGGAAAGACACTATGCTTTCCACTTAAAGGCTGACCTAAACTTCAGAGCAGATACAAATATCACTTTGAGGGGATTTGTTTGGAGGAGTGACTCCAGCCACTTAACCATTTAATAGGATTCACAAGCTTCCACAACACTGCGGCAGACAGAGCTGGAGCTGCTCCGAGACGCAACAGAGACACCTGGTCACAGATTCCCTCCTGCCTCCTGAACTTAACACTGAAATGACGGCATGGATGTTATCGTCAAAATACAGTAAAACATATTTAAATGTTATACAAGAGCATCTGTTACAGTGACAATCATTGTATCTTTCTCCTTGTGTGCTTGGAGACCCCGCCTCCTCAGCCTTACCTGTGCACACAGGTGTGTGTTCGATGGTTGTAGAAGGAGCCCTGAGGGCAGACGCAGCCCTCCTCACACTCCTCCCCACAGTGCTGCGGGACGGAGAGGGCGGAGCAACGGCGCTGGCAGGACGACACGCAGGTGCCGTACTGCATGGTGGCAGGACAGGTGACCGCTGCGGGGAGAGATAATGTCAACGGGAAGATTCAGATTTCAATATTACTTCGTAATTCTGTAAAGATGATCAGTTTGGTCATCTTAAAATACAGTATCACTTGTGATTTGAACTCCTCTTCCGTTAAAAAAACATCACCTTTACTGTCTTTATCAGGTTTAATAGTAGTGCAGAGACTTTTCCTGATACACTGATTGGAAATGGGAGAAAATATTTCTTTCACGTAAACAATTTTATCAAAGAAAGAAACGTCTCACACGCATTAACGTAGCTCTCCCGCTAACACATACAACTATACCACAACAACTCACAACCTCTGTTCTGTTCCACAAACTTATCTGAATCACTGCCAAAGCTATGTCTGTACATTCTGTCTTATGAAACCACGCTGCAAAAATAAAGAAATTAAAAAAAAGAAAAATCTTCATCATTGTGCTGCTGATTTGCAAAAATACAAAAAATAAATGGAGTAAATGGATTCTGAGGTTTCAGGTGAATCTGAGGACAGACAGCCAGTTCACATTAGTTTCTCACATTAGTTTGTTGCCTCATCACATCTAAATATCTGCAGCTTGGTACCACAAAACATCCCCAGTTTTCATTTCAGGTGATTTGATTCTCAAACTGAGTGAAAAATATGATCTCTTGATTTTGTTAAAGCTCCTTCTGATAGTAGACTGTGAACATAAACATTGAGCTTGGGTTTGTTTTTGATAACAGAAAGATTTCTCATTTTCTTTTGCAATTTCCCTTCATCATAATTCATTCATAAATCCAGCGCCACTTACAGGTGAATCCTTGGATAAAACATCAAACTTTGTACGATGAGCTGAGTACTCACCACAGTCGGGTATGTGCGACCGAAAGTCGATGATGACAGAGAATCTGCGGCAGTGTCGAGCGTAGTGGGCCAGGGCAGAGCAGAGGCACGGCGTCCCGCACTTACAGGTATCTGAGCGACACTGCTGGTGGAAAGGTGTCGGACTGAGGTACTCGTGGCAGGCAGAGAACAGATCCTGGTTCAGTACGTCACACATCTCTGAGGCGTAGGCCACTGAGCGGGAAAACAAGCAGGTCAACATCAGGTTACAAGTCAAGTTCTGTCCAACCTCAGGCAACACAACTGGTCATAAGAGGAGGGCAGTTCTGAAATTGAGTTGGTGCCAAAGCAGACAGACGATTAAAAGTATTTTTAAAATGAATCCTAACAGACACAGGAAGCCAATGTTGTGAGGCTTTTTTTGTGTGAGGTGCAAGGAATCAAATCAGGAGACTTCTGGGAGAGACGTACAGGTTTTTTGCAGGAGTCAAGACGTGATGAGATGAATGCATGAACAACCTTCTCCAGATCAGTGAATGACACAAATGTGATTGGAAAACCTTTTTTTCAGGGTCGAATATTACACCATGATTTGAGGCAGAGGGCTTAAATATAAATTTAGAGCAATTGGATTGATTCATTTTCAGGGTCAGCATGAGTAAAAGAGCTTCACTTTACTTGTAATCTAAATCTTTATCTCTTGTCACTTCATATTTCACATTTAATGGAGTGATATTCATAGATACTGACTCTGAACATAAAATATAAAACTGTGAATATCTTACTGTTAACTCACATTCAAACACACAGGAGCAGCTGTAACAGAAAGAGTTAAAGGAAGAGGAGGAACTTACCAGTCTGCTGGTGTGTGTCACAGGGGTCCAGCTGAGGTGTGCTCAGGCTGGGTGAACAGGCTGACGAGACTCTCCAGGCGTTTCCAAACAGCTGAGGAGTGCTTTCTATCATACCTGATGGAGATCTGCAGGAAGACCAGCACAGAGACATGTGCAGTTGCAGTTACTACTGTATCATTTCTCATCCAGATGCTACTTTTCTTAGTGTTTTTAGTGTGTAAAGCAAATAGTTGGTCAGTATCTTTAAATCCCAAATCCGCAACTGTCAACATGGGAATAAATACAAGCAGTCAAACTTATTAAAATGACACAACCTTGGTACCATCCTGTTCACAGATGGTGGATTCATAAGTGGTGGAAACTACAAACTCATGAAATTTTCAAAGTCCATTTTCAAACCAAACATTTTGATTAAATTAGATGACTTGATGTTTTAAATTACACCCTCCCATGTCCCACGAGTAATTAATATGAAAGAGTCCCACCGTTGCCCCCAGCCTCCCTTCTTGGATCCACACATCACTGTAACAGCTGGTTCAGACTCATGGCTATGGCTCCAAAGTGTCTTCCAGGGTTTAAGAACACTAATCTTTTCATTTAGGGTACAATATTTTCCAGTTATCTGTCAAACTAGATGCAGTCACAGATTTAAAGACAAACATATTTTTGTAAGTTTCTAAGGGAAGCTGGAAGATTATGCATTTTACTTTGAAATAAGAACAGAAGAGGAAAGAAACTACCTCTGTTTCTGACTCTCAGACTGAATCTCCTGTTTGTTTTGGTTTTAATTATTACTACTAAAACAAAACTACTGTAGCTTTATGGCAAGTAAAACCAAAACATGATTTTAAAACCAGCAGAAGTCGGTGCTTAGCTCCAAAGAGGAAGGCAAAATATAAAACCAAGGATTCTGCAAGTCGTCATTTTGACTGTATCTTTTCTGGACGGCTTCAGGCAAAGTGAGTCCCAGATTTCTTTCTAGTAGCAAACGACCACTTCAGTCACTAACTGTGATGTATATCCATTTACAGCTGTTAGACAACATCCGCCCTTTATGGTCGACCATTACGATACGGTACAGTGGAGCCCCTATTCCACTAACAGTAAATTCCTTGTTGAAGTGGCGTGTCCAGTTGGGTGCTCATCTGGCCCACCTAATAGAGCTGATCAGAGAGCGAGCCTTTTGATGCCGAGCCGCCCGAACAGTGTGCATTACAGAGAGAGAGAGAGTGAGATAGCGAGAGAGCACTTCACCATCACCTCCCTCTCTGCCTCTGTAACAAGAGCATGCTCTCTTTTTTCGTTATTGGTGCGTTGGGGGCGGGGTTAAGGGAGGGCGCAGGAGGGGTTAAAGGTCCGCCAGCACACACTTACAGGAAGTCATCTTGAATGTTGCCGTTGAAGGTGCCGCACAGCCCCACCGTGTCATCCTTCCACAGCTCGTCGGCCTGCAGGTAGAGACGGAACTCCTTCCAGCTGTACTGCAGATGCAGGCCAAACGCCGTCCTCACCTGCAGGAACATGGACGACAGCTCCTGGACGTGGAAGGTGTCTGCGAGAGATGTGGGAGGAGGTCATAGATGAGGTTAAGTAAATATAAGCATGTTTAGCCTACACTGTTTACATCCATGTTTGCAAGTTACCAGTTTGCTTTTTGCTGATGCATTAGTACATCTGTTGGCACATTAATACCACCTTGGTTGCTCAGGTGAAAGGTCAGCAGGACTAGGTTTGTTTTACTGTTTACTGCTGTATTTATTAATTAATTTAGGAATTTATTAATTTATAGGAAATTCATTGGTGCTGCTATTCTTCAATAAAGATAGGTCTAATCAGAAAAGATATGGATATTCTGTGCTATTTGGTCAGTGGTTTAGTTTTAGAAACAGCCACAATGAGCTAAAAAAGGAGGCTGCAGAATTTCACTGTGGTTCGTGACTAGCACATGTAAAACCCTTAACTTCGGAGAAACACTCACACCATGTGAGTCACGGCATTGCTCAGCAAGACTAACTAAACACTTCATGACAATCCTGCTTGTGCTGACCTCCAGTGGTTTCACTTCTCACCTTGCAGTGATGTAGAAGTGTATTCCTGAGTGTGGCAATACACTGTGACATCACTGCTGGACACGCCCATCAGTGATGCAGCTTTTCACCCTGGTGTTAAATTGCTCTTTAAGAGGGCGTGAACACTGTGCTGACAGTCTGGTGGATGATGACTTCTCTCTATATTATGTATGTACTGACCGGTTAAGACATAATTTGAAATGGATTCTTCCCACTCTATTTTTATTGTGTTTTGTGTAGGGCTGCAACTAATGATTATTTTCACATTGGGTCAATTAATCAGTTATTGTTTACTTCATAAAATATCAGAAAAAAATTCCCAATAAGATTCCCCAGACACACACACCCAGACCTCAAAGGAATGTTTCATTTACCATGATATAAAACAAAGAAATTGTCACATTTGAGATGCTGGAACCGGTAAATGATTGGCATTTTAATTAATACTTGATTAATAAACAAATAACTATCAAAAGTACTGTCGACTGATTTCTGCTGAAAAATTAATCAAGTAATCTTGTATGTGTTTCAGCACTAGTCTTGGCTCTGTTAGGGTTTGTACTTTGAGATTTCATTTCTTATTTTTTCTTTATATCTGGACTTTATTATAAGCACTTTTGGAGTTGTGCATGAAAGGCTCTACATGAGCAGACTGATTAATTGATTGACTGATTGCCTGATTAATTGACCAAATGGAGTCAGGAATGCAAACTTATTTGTCAGAATATGTTTGTAACAGAGCATAAGTTGTTGTGTATGTGTTGTTTTTATTCCTTAAGGGACCAAAATATCAGATCATTCTCACACAATTCAGCACAAAACATACAAAAGGCTGTTGACTCGATCTACAGAGTGCGGCGGTCATGAAAACACTGGCGTGAAAAGGGAGTAATACTCAGAGGGAAGGCATTTTGTGCAACACAATGTAGTTAAGTATTGGGAACATTTTTGTTCAGTAACACAGCTGTCACTCAATCTGCCTCTGCCATGACCCGCAGAGGGCTGAAAGAAGCTGGGCGCTGAATGTGAACAATGTTTTGAGGTGATAAGAAATGAGGAGGTTACCGTCAGAGTAGGGCAGGGAGATGCGGTACTGCCCAGCCATGAAGACCTCTCCAACGTGACTCAGTGTTATCTCCGTCCTTGGATCCTCGTCAACAACCAGGTTAACTGATTGGATGCAGGCGCCATCCAGATTCTGCAATTGAGGCAAGATGGCTTCATAAACCACACTGGCATTCTCCTAAACAGCAGCAATTATGACGCACAACAGGACACACAACAAGAGCAAAATAATGGGAAAGAAATGAAGTGAAATATAAGAGGTAGGAAAGAAAAACAATTTTACTCCCAAATCACCTGCTCCAACACATTATGGACTGAAAGAGACAAGAGACTGTGTAAAGTTCATCACAGCCCACAACACAAAAGTATTAACGTAGCAAAATACGTTTTAAAACTAAAATGTAGTAGTGTGGACATGGACTTTGATGGACTCTGAATGAGATGAAAGTTGCTATGAAGCTCAGTAAAGGGGGGAGCTGAACAGTCAGGTGATAGTTCTCTGCAGGTTCATCACTGTGAGGTTCCCCCTTCACATACAACTGGTCATGTGATCCATTGTTAATATAAAGATATTGATTGTAGCTACTTGAAGTTTTTTTAATAAATTCATTTAATTTAAAACTTGTGTCACAAAATACAAGTACTTGAAAACAGTACTTCAGTACATCACTTTAGTAAAAGCACAATTAATTCCTCTGCTGCGTCGTTGACAGTAAGCGATCTGCCACTATGAATCGTCTCTTTCATAAGTGGCAGAGCCCCATAGCCGAAAGGTTTTAGCACCCACCTCACCCACCCCTCCTCCTTCTACTCTTCCCATCATTCACCTCCTGTTTTCGCATAACCTTCTCTCTGTCCAAGTCCCCCACCCCTCCTGTCCCTCTCTTCACCTCCCTCTTCACTACAAAGCCGTCCACAGCTCTGTCAGTCAGGCCAGATAAGGTAATCCTGTTCAGTTGGCTGTTAGAGGTCTCAGGCCTCTGCTCTGATGAGTGGGACATCTTATATCTCGCCTCCTCCCCTCCACCCCCCCACCCCCCACCCCCCGGTTTGCTTAGCAGCTCAAAGGCTGCTGGGAAATTGGAGGCTTGGAGAGAGGGAAGAGGAGAAGAAACTCTGTCTTTTGTCATTTTTCATGTTCATTATCTGCCCAAGTTTGATCGAAACATTTCCTCGAGGCGTTCATTTGTCTGAGCCGCAGCGTGGCTCATCAAACAAAACAACCTGGACTCAGCAGGGATTAGTGAGCACTAAAATAATGATATGATCTACATGACAGACAAATTGCACACCTGTAAGCTGAGCCAGAAGAACAGTTTGATTGTGGAAGATAAAGTGGAAAAGTTGTGCAAGAGTTTTCCAAGGTGGAGAGACGTTTGGGTCAAAAGCAAGAAAAGAAAAAAAGTCAAATTTGGGATGTTTTTTTTAATAAAATAAAAACGATGCAGATTAAAGGTAACTCACTGCTCCACAGGGGGCGTTCTGGATGGTGACTGTGAACTTCCCTGAGTTGCGACTCTTGGCGAGGACGTACTGACACGTTGCAGGAAAGGTGTAGATCCTCCCGTCAAAGGACTGAAAATACATATCGCCAGTAACCGAGCACTCGCCTGCGGAGAGAATGAGACATTTTTCACTTATTTCCTTTATTCAGCCAAAGAAACGTACAACAAAGTGTTGTAACCACTGGATGTATGCCTTGCTCAAGAGCACTTCAACAGCAATCAGCAATTGTGAAGATAATCACGACATACATGAAGCATGTGACTTAAACATCCTCTGAAGCTTCCTGCTCTCCTGAAGATATGAAAACTGGCGGCTGATGAAGCTTTTACTGATTTGCTGGAAATTCGATCATGATTGCTTCTAAATTTGGATGGTCATTTGATTCTTTTGCCAGATTTCCTGAGTTGAAGTCTGTAAACATGCATTCTCTAACCCCATGACGACATTCAAGTGTCTTTATTCTTTCTTGTTCCTTTTCCTGCTGCCTGTCTTATTTCTGGTTTCCTTGCTGGGAAGCCTCCTCCTTCCTCGTTTTCTATCTAGAAAGCTTCTCTCTTTACTTTCCACTTGCCCAGGACATGCCCTTCTTTTTGTTGCCTAATTAAGAGGCTTTCAATGCTCTCAATGCGCTCTAGAAAGAAAGCGTCCTCTTTCATTGGTCCATAACTTGGGAACTTTATCCTTTTTGGTTCCTAACTGGGAAGCCTCCTCCTTGCTTGCCTTGCTCCCTTACTAGTCCCTCTTTTTTCCCTCGTTCCTTACTAGGAAACATCCTCTTCTTTTCTACTTGGAAACAGCTAATTTTTAGGAAATTAGATGGAAAAACATGGACCCTTAAATTACAGGGTTATTGACATTTTCCTTCCAAGACCTTTGCTGATGATGGTTCTCCCTTTCACATTCCCTACGTGGGAACCTTCCTGGTTTTTTGCTTCCCAACTAGAGATGTCAACATGTACCCTATATAACATTGAAGCTTGAAGATCACTTTTTATGAGAATCTTCGGTTTGTAATAAAATAATCACCTCACATCACAGTGTTTCATTTCATAGTAAAAATTGTAATCACCCACTGAAAGAAGGCACAAACCTGGGCAGCTGTAGTCGGTGCAGTTCCACACTCCACCCACGCATGTACTGAAACAGAAAGCAGAGACATCCACAGGTGGCTCTGGAAACATGAAAGGCTAAGCTAATCAGCAGGATCACTGACAGAAACTGGACACACCGAGCCCAGGTGGTCAGATCTGAGAAGATTAAAAGGACTGCGTTGAGTCTGCAGGACAATATGCTGTATGCTTTTTTTTTTTTATACATGATGATGACATGTAATGTAACATGGTCTCACAAGGTCTCACAAGCGCCGATCTAGGGTTCATTTAAGGTCCAAAGGCAGCCGGTGAGATGAGGTTATTATGGAAAACAAGATTTGTCAAAGCACAAAAAGCCAGTACTCCTCGCTGTGAAACATGTTTCATGGGATAAGAGAGTAGTATTTGAACGGGTAAATCACAGCTCTAATCCACAGTCTTATTATAACATCTACAGTCTTTTATAATGGCATAGCTGCTCACCAGTTGTTGCATTCCTCCTGCAGCGTTTGTCCAGAGGGGTAAAACATGCCATGGTACTCGCAGGGACAGTCAGAGGGCATCACACAGCCTCCATCCTCATAGATCAGACCTGAGGAGGGATAACAGCAGAGACAGATGTTGAGACAGAAGAATGAGAAACGAATGATAAATTATTTACAGGAGGAAAGGTGGTTTAATGAATGTTTTATTTTAAATTTGGAAGAAAAGACCAAAAGAAAAGGTGTATTTGCAGTACAATAGATAGTATCTGAACTCACCATCCGGACAGTAGCATCCATCCAAGCAGGCCAGCTTGCTGTCGATGCATGTTCGCTCCAGGTTGCAGGACTCTGGGCAGCAGCTGATGCATTCCCTGTACTGCAGGCCTAGAGGACACTGCTTCGCTGGTCACAAAAATGAAACATAACATGTCAAAAACTTTCTACTGCAAAGACTGACAGGACAGATTTTGAGTACTGAAATGAAATGATATGATTACATTTTGGAAACAGCTAACGGTTCTTTGGCTAATGTTAAGTAGGCTATGACAGTACAAACATCTGATTTATAAAATCATTTTAGTGGGTTTCCACACAGCACTGGAAGAACTGAAACAAAGGACTGTTCTTACATTTTAACAATTTGAATGATATGATTCCATTTTGACATTTTTATTTAGAAAATATAGACAAAAATGTGATCTATAAGATTAATTTTAGTGGTTTTTCAGACACCTCTGAAAGTACTGAAATTAAATATTTTTTTTGTTTTAATTTTAGCGAAACTGATGGCTCTTTAGCTAACATTATAGTTAGCTACTGAAAATGAACTCTGCTGGAGTTGACGTTAGCAACAGTTAGCTAACAGTTCTTTAGCTTAAGTTAAGTAGGCTACGACAAACTAGTTTATAAAATAATTTTATAGTGGGTTTCCAGACACCACTGAAAAGAAGAAAGTGAAAGTAATTACATTTTGACATTTTTTTTTTTACACAAATACGATAGCTAGAAAGCTAACTACTGAAAATTAACTCTGCTGGAGTTGACGTTAGCAACAGTTAGCTAACAGTTCTTTACCTTACGTTAAGTAGGCTACGACAAATGTAAATTGTTTTAGTATGTGATTGCATATTGACATTAAATGGACTCAAAATGTAAGAATTTGTGAAATATTCACTGAATAACTTTATTTCCTGTTCCTTTTAGCAAGCCTCTGGTCCACACCACACCTTCTGTAACTTACCGTGTTTCTGGGTTTTTCTGTTCGTTTTCTAATATAATTGAGTATCTTCTGCCATATTGGATATTCCAACCAGACAATACGCCATCTGAAATCCTTAATTAGCACACCGTCAACCTACAGAAGTGCATTGCATCCGTATCTTATAGTAATGACTTGGAATTTCACAATAACACGAATTAAGCAATATCACACTTCCACTTATTTTACTGTTTATTTGGCTACGCCAACACAAATAGTTCCGCAACTGGACTGGGACTGGACTGTTGCTACTGTAGCTACTTGCTACTCTTGCTACTTTGTCTACACGTTACCTCAAGTGTGCGCTAGTATCCAGGCTTCTTCCCTTCATCCTCCTCTGAGGACCATACATATTTAATTTAAAATGTTATTACTGGAATATATTCATATTTGCAAAAATCTGTTACAATCTAATAGGGTAACGACCGTTAATGTAACGCTAATTAACGGTTAACAGAACACCTCTGGAGCGGAGTGATACACTTAGTTCAACGTCCCAGTGCTGATAGACCCTGTATCAGCACTCATGGAATCTCTCTCGTCCAATCAAAATACTTGATCGGAGCTAACTGTTATATAAAGATCTCATAATTACAATAACTGAGATCTTACTTACAAGATAATACAGATATTGTAATGACAATATATGAAAAATTCAAATTCTTTTACAAGATACATAATAATGAAATAAGTAATTCGTACTCCATCTCCAACGTGCAGCTTTTCGGCCCTCTCCGTGACACAGTTTAAAACACCTGGAGAAACGTACCACACTGAGGAATGCGCTGCCTCCAGTCGTGCAGTGGGTGGTCAGCGTGGGCACAGGCCCGGGCGTACTCGCTGAACACCTGGCATACCACTTCACCGTTGGGACCCGACCTTCAACAGAGTAACAAACACAGAAGGACTCGTTGAGTGGAGCCAGAGCCAGGTACGCTGAACTGATCGGACTGTGCAGCTCAAACAGGTAACTGCCCACCAGCTGTGTCTCCTGAGAAAAACTGGAGAATTATCGGTTTACGGATAAATATTCCATGTAGGCTTTAAATGAAAAACTATACCTGAAGAGTTTGTTGTAGTGTGGTATCAGTAATGTTCTCAGTGAATCATCTGATAAGGTAAATTTGTCACTGAAACTGTAGAAACAGAAACAGTAGAACTAAACTCTTTTCCAAATCAGCCTGAGTCGTAGTAAAATGCTGCTGAGGCTAATGTTACTCACAGAAGGAGGGCACCTTCAGGATCATGGACCTGAGCCACAAAGACACAACTGAGAAACTGGTGAGTGGTATCATTTTTAAACCAGAAAGTAAATCCACAGTCTTCTTTGTGAACTTAGGGTCCCCAGAGGATAAGCAAAAAGCAAGCAAAACTTCATTTATATATTCCAGATGGAAGCACAAAGCATCAATTAAAAACCACAAAAACTGCGTGGATAGTGTAAAGATAAAGCATTAAACACAAATTAAAAACACATAAATGATGCCTATGAATTAAAAACCATTAAGAAAATAAAATAATTAAGACTAACAACCAATCACTAGAAAGGTGTGTAAAATATAACTATTAAAAAGTAGGAATAAAATGTGATTAAAAAATAATATAATAGATCAATAAAAATGAGACATATAAAACCAATAAAGAAATTAAAGTACAATAAAATGATAAATTAAGACCAGCAAACCAGAGCATCATGCATTGCTTTCTGCCCTGGTGTATTTTTAAATACTGCTACTAAGAGGCACTATAGCTAGAAAATTTCCAACACTTAATAAAGTGGGTCTGAATGTGTTGTTCTTACATGCAGAGGTCGTTGGAGCAGCTGGCCATGTAGGACAGCGGGCTGACAAAGTCATGGCAGCTCTCAAACGGCGGATCCAGCAGCATTGCACACACCTCCTCCACTTTCTGCAGCCACAAATCACACATGGACAGTTTTTCACTCATCATTCAACATGGTCATTTTCCAACGAATAAACACAAATTCATGAACAACAAATGATGTGATTTCTAAAACCTAAATAAGCTACTGCTATCCTTTAATGGTCTGCAAAAATGATCTTACAACTGAGCCTATAATAGATTTAAGTATTAGTCCTACGTCAAAGAACTTACTGTTACTCTCATGTCATCTGAAACACAACTGCCCTCAGAGTTTCAGGTCCAGTATTAAACCTAAGTTCCACTGTCAGTGTGTTTATTGTTCATTTTAGAGGATGCATGTTTTGTTTTTTTTTGTTTGTTTGCAGGCGACAGTTCTTATCAGACACCTTACCAGCAGGACGTGAGCATCGACTGCAGCACAGGGTGAAGAGAAGCCAGAGGACACCGTGGGACATTGGGCCTGGTGTGGCTGCGTCTCCACCCAGCTATTCCCAAACATTTCTATTTCATGAGTCAGCACGCCTGGGAGAGACAGAAGGTTTTTTTTATTAGAGACGGACTGACCTCCAGAAATGAAGAGAGGATCACAATGTCAAGAACATTTTGCATTTACTTTACGTTACAGACTCACAGGATGTCATGTACAGCAATCCAGAGCATGTTTATAAAAACTCAGTCAACTGCCACATTCATGGCCAAAAACGGAGAGTGGGCTGCCATTTAAGATGCAGGAAATAACTTCCTTTGCACAGAATCTTTTTTTGATATAGCTTGTCCTCTGTTTTGGATTTTTTGGATATTTTGAAAAGTGATCAGAAATAAAGTAAATGAATAGAAACTACCACTGAGGCCTATTTGTTCTGCTTCTTGGTTCAATCTAAATACTAAAGTTTATTTCTGTCATTGTACCTACTATACTTGGATGCATCACTGAACACATCCTCACATGGTTGGATTGATCTGATTACAATCTGTCTGGATTTGTTTGTGGTTAAGTGCTGACTGATTATAATCTGATCCAGCTAGATTCAGGTCTCACGCCCCACGGTCAGATTTAACGAGTGATAACTTGATTAAGTGACTTGCAGGGACTCTCGCTGCATTTAAATGATTTCAGCATGAAGCAGGTTCTCACTACAGGCTTTCACTTTCATTTCTCACTCTTTAAATTCATTTTAACTCTGACCTCCAGGCTCCAAATCACTGCTTCATTACTGGACTATCATGTCATAGACAAAATGATCGTACCGTAGCTCGTCCTCAGGTCGTCCTGGACGTCTGCGTTGAAGTTACCGCACAGGCCGCAGGTTCTGCCCACAAACTCTGGGCTGAGTTTGATGTAGACGGAGCCGCTGCGTCCTTCCCAGGCCAGCGTGAAGCCGTGCTGCTGCGTCACCAGAACATACTGCGAGATCTGCTCCAGCTGCAGGTCGTGGATGTGATGAGGCAGCTCCAAACTAAAAGACAGAGACAGTGAGTCCACAGTGAGAACAGACGCCGCCAACTTTTAGAGCATATTGCAAACACGTCTAATAAAACACATCAAGCAGATCGGCTGAAATAAATAATGAATCCTGAGATGAGTAATTCTGAAAGATGAGAACGTGCAAATAAAATACTTTTTTATACAAAGATGTTTTTTTTGTGTCTTGTGTTACACTGCTGACCTTTGACCTTTGAAGGTTACGTTGGTGGCGTGCAGCCGGACCTCGCCCTCCCATGGCAGGAAGAGGCTGACTGATCGTTGGCAGGTGTAAGGAGCAGAGCCGCAGCCTGGATCATTGTGGACCTGCAAACAGCAAGATGCAACATGACAGTTGTCCATCCATTAGGAAGCAAAATAAACTGTTTGTGTTGGAAACTAGTCTCTAGTTTGGAAATAATTTATACAACAATATAATAAAGTGTTACCCAGTGTTTTTATAGGATAGCCCCATTCTTTCTTTCTATGTCTTTCTTATCCTCAGCAAGTTCCATGAAAAGGCTAAAACCAACTGGAGGCCATCTAGTAATGGGACGTCCGTCAGTATGTTACCATTCTAACTTATGGGTACTCTGTCGTTATTACCATATTATTACATGAGTCGATCAGTTCTCGTGGGTCGGACCATGGCCTCAACTACACACCCCTTATTCCTCTGAGCCATGGACCTCCATTGTTTCCAAAAACAATTTAAAAAATGCATTTTGACATTATGCCTTCTCCTTTGAAAACTCAAAAGTTCTTTTTGTTGCCTGAATTTTTCTTCTTTAACTCGTTGAGAGAGAGTTTTTTTTTTTGTTTTGTTTTCTGTGAACAGCAGGTGCTGTAGTTCAGCAAATATTGTAGCAGCTACTGCACAGCTGAAGCAAAAAAGAAGCAGAGACAGCAGTTTCAGCCCCAGCTCTTCCTAAAATACTGGTTTAAATGCTGAAACTTGACCCTAAAACACACACACACACACACACACACACACACACACACACACACACACACACCATTTTGCGATCTTAAGGCATTCCTGAGTAAAGTGTGGCTTTAACTACTAAAAAAGAAAATGTCAAATCACTCCCCTCCAACATGTTCAGGTTGTTAGATTTGTATCAGTGCGGTTTTATATTTACTTTTTGCTCCTGAAATGCTCATTGTTATTAATACTGGTATTAATGTACTATCAGTAATCATAATGCATATGGTTCTTTTCATGTTCCCTGTTTGGTTTGGTTTTCCCATACACCGCTACAGTATCTGCTGCCTTTTCGGGGGAACAAAGTCCCAGTCTGTTGCAGATGCTTTCAAGGCATAGTGGGTAATTGCAGTATTTAATGGTAATTGACTCTAATAACCAGATAGCTTTCACTAATCTTCAGGGTAAATCTTTTCCTCAGGCTGAGACTGAAGTCAGAAAGGAAAGTGCGCTTTAGAGCAGGAGTCCAAACTTTCCTCGACTGTAAGCGTCGAAGCGAAACCTTCTGGGCAGCTTCTAGTCGGGAGGATTTACTTCGTCCTGGTGCAGGCGGGTCTGAACTGACCTGGACGACGATGCTGGCCTGTGCGGTTTCCTCGCAGTCCCTCAGCAGAGTGTACGTGCATCGACCGGGGAAGTAGTAATAAAGGCCGTCAAAGGTCTCAAAGTTGTACTGACCCCACGTCCGGCATGTCATCTCCCTATCGAAGCCGGGATTTGGGACTGGGCGAGAGAAAAAGATGATTATCAAAACATGCATTTACTTCAGACAAGAGAACTGCCACAGCAAAACATATAGAGTATCTTAATCAGATCACTTAGGTTCCTGTTCAGCCTTTGACTCATCTTGCTCTGACCCCAGCTTCCTCAATAATTCACGAGATTATTATCCATCTTCTCAGAATGTTAAACAATTCGTTTAATGCTCCATTTATCACTTTTAGTCAAAACTTGTTTAAGTTGCTGACCAGCATGATCGTTCATTTGAAGTCGTCCTCGTGTAATTAGATGAAATTATATCTGGCCTGTTTTTAAAACACAAGATTTTAGAACTTGATATGATAGACCAAGTCACTTGTTAATAAGAATGACACTTGATGTGTTAACCTGACATTTTATGTTTTTGAATTTTTAGGGGACGAAAAGCACAGATTCCTTTGTACAAACTGAATAATCTTACTTCTGAAAAACTCATATTTGGCCAAAATAAGTGCCTTTCCCCTTAAAGCCAAACATTGCAGATAATTGCAGCATGACACAAAACAATGAACTACAAAGACTTTTTCATCTAGTTCAATGAAAATGTTCACTCAGCTGTAGCTTTAATTTCATTTTGTAAAAATAACTGTAGTTTGCGCTGTTATGTATATATATATAACGTTATAATGGATGATGATGATTGTTTATTTCAACGAGTGAGTGAAATGGGCTGGAAGAAGAAGAAGAAGAAGAAGAAGAAGAAGAAGAACAGCAGGTGTGTGGTTTACCTGTCTGACATCTGTGTCCGGTGGCCTGGTACAAGCTGCAGTCACATGACTCCGACTGAACACACTGTCCTCCGTTCAGGCAGGGAAGCACACATGGTTCTGCTGAGAGAAGACAAGCAAACACGCGATTACACTGCTGCTCATCAGCGACCAAGGAATAATTTTCCCTTTTCAGGTTGTTTCATCATTTCATCATTCAGAGTTCAGCACCTGAATCTTACCTTATTGAAACATGAATAAGACTCAAATAAGCAAGTGGAAATGATTGAGAGAGTGCCGGGTTTCTGGTTTGTGATCATTTGGTACTTCACAGGTTAAAACAAAGGAGAAGAAATACTGTATGTTTCTTTCATGTCCCATAAAATCTGTGGTCATCACGGCTGGATTACCAACCGGACACAGTGGGCAAATGTCCAGGAGCTCCAGACCCCCAGGGGCCCCAAAAAGGCAGTGTAACATAAATTGATTAAATGTTATTATTTTGTCCTGGGATGCGAAGAACCACTGTAACACACGACTGACTTTGAGAATTTGCAGGTCACAACTTTAAACAGAAGTCACCACCTGTCTGCCCCGCCCCCCACCTATCAGCACTGTGGAGCCCCAACAAATGTTCCGGTCACTGAACGCACCACCAGACACCAAACGATGGCTCCTCATCCTGCTGTAACACCATCTGCTCGGTGGGCTTACAGCTTGTCTGCCCAGTCAGCCACGTCCCACTTAAACACAGGTATGATAAAGAGGTTTGTGGTGGAGGGTGGGGGGAGGGGTGGTATCGATGAATCAGATAAAAGCTATTTTCCTTCTGTTCACTCAGTAATGGGGGAGTAAAACAGAGGGCTCACTTGTTGCTCAGTTTAAAGCCACATTAGACAACTTTCTGCTGCTTCATTCACAAACGGTATCGTGGTAAGATTTATTCAGGCTTCTTCGCATAGAAATCCAGCACACCGTTACGTCAGGTTTGTGAAAGCAGGTGAAACAGGTGGTGAGAGCTCATTCATTCACTGGTGCTTAGTGCAGCCCAATTATCAAAGTAGAATTGTATGATTCTGCATACAATTAATGTTCACTAACAATAAAACAATTTTCTCATAACTATTCTCTCAAAAGAATAGTTCAATATTTTGGGGAGTACACCTATTGGCTTTCTTGTGGAGAGTTAGATGGGAAGATTGACACCAATCTTGTGTCTATTAACTATGGAGCTATTGAGCTATTAGCTTATCTTAATGTACAGACTGGAATCGAGGGGAAGGGGTGTTGATGTACAGATTAAAGAAATACAATGTGTTAATGAGCATTAGATGTGTTGGTAGGCATATTTTTTTTTACCTTTGTTGTTTCGCCTGGTTCTTGTGATGACAGGTTGTCACAAGAGCCACACCTTTAAATTAAGCTAATCTAATAGCTCCCTAGACATGAGAGTGGTATCTATCTGTCCATCTAACTCTCAGCAAGAACATGAATACGCATATTTACCACAATGTCAAACTCTTCCTTCAATGCCACTATGTGTAGGATTTAAAAATGTTCAAACATCCCCCAATGGTAGCCTCAAAACACCATCACCACCACCAACACCAACACCCATATCAACCGTATAAACCCACCTGAAAGCCTACGAAACGACGACCTCAGGGCTTCCTTCGCCTGCCTGGTGAGCAGTGAAATATTGACCGGACGCTCATCCGGTGAAAAGACTCCACTGACTGGTGACGCTGAACCAGGTGATGATTGCTTTGATGATTCTGAGCTGGTTGGGGATTGGTCAGATGGTGTTGCATTTGACAGTGATTGGTTATGAGACGTTAAGCCGTATGATACGTGGTGTGGTGTTTTTGAGCTGGTTGTGGATTGATTAGCTGGTAATAAAGTGGTTGGTGAGTGATTAGGGGACGTTGAGGTGAGTGATGACTGCTTTGAAGTTTTTGAACCAGTTGTTGATTGGCTCAGTGGTGTTTGGCTCGATGATGATTGGCTAGGTTTTGTACTACTTCCTGCTGAATGGTCAGATAAGGTCTTAGGTGGTGCATTGCCAACTGGTGACTGACTGGCTGGTGCTGTGCTTGTTGGTGATTGGCTGGCTAGCACTGTGGTGGCTGGTGATTGGCTGGCTGACACTGTGGTGGCTGGCGATTGGCTGGCTGACACTGTGGTGGCTGGTGCTGTGGTCATTGGTGATTGGCTGGGTGGTGTTGTTCTGCTTGGTGACTGGCTGGTTGATACTGTGGTGGTTGGTGATTGGCTAGAGACTCCTATCTTTGTTGGAGATTGAATGGATGGTGTTGTGCTGCCTGGTGTTTGCCTGACTGGTGCTGTGGTTGTTGGTGACTGGCTGGATGGTGCTGGTTTGGTTTGTATGTGGGTTGATGGTGTTGTGTTGCCTGGTGCTCGGCTGGATGATATTGTTCTTGATGGTGTTTGACTAAACGGTGCTGTGGTTGCAGATGATTGGTCCGAGCTGAGGGTCCATGGGGGGGTCGGTGTCCTCTCTGTGCTGGGGGTCGTCAGGTTGGACGTCAGATTGGACACGGCGGCCGGGCTGACCAGTGAAAGACTGGAGGAAGATGTGTTGGTTTCTAACGCAGCAGCTGCTGTCTGGAGGTCCTTCAAGGAAAGAAACTGTGTCAACACGTATTTCATGCAACAGTTGCAACCATTCAGTCATACAGCCAAAACCTGATACTGCCTAGCAATGTTTCAGAGCTTCTTCCAACCAAATATCTTAAATCAGATTATTTTTTTATTGGGTTGAGTCAATTTCAGCAAAGCAGAATTAAGTCCTTGTAACGCCGTCTGATTCTTTTAATTAATCCCATGAGATTAATACAATATCAAGCAAATCTGAAAAACAAGCTCAGCTCTCGGGTGACAGATTAATAAAGATTTGATTAAAATGTAGGACACCCAAAACTTTCACAATTCTGTGTTTTGTTGGGGAAAAAATTCCTCCCAGAATTACGCAGGTTGTTGCCAAACCAGAGTCCCGACCGGTGAGGATGGAACTGAGGCAGCGCTGGGAAAAGAAGGCTGGAGAGAAAAGACCTGTCATCCAACCTTCATTAATGACTCCTCTGTGACTTCCAGCACAGCTTTCCCATCCAGGTCGACAACCCCACCCACCTCCACCTCCCGTGTGTTTTCCCCTTTCTGGATGATCTTTGTTGTATGAGATGTGTAGCGAGGGTCGAGTAGTTTGCTAAACTAAAATGTGAATTCTTCCTGCAGATAAATCTGTTTTAATTGCCAGGTTTTACAGTTTAGAATGTGGAGCTGCAGAAATTTAACGTTTTTGAAAGGTGGAAGATCTTGACGCTCAGATATTGAAAAGGAAAATAAAGAGTAACAGCATCTTTGGGTAAAAAACACTGGCATTAGTGCGTTGTTTCTACACTTTGAGCTTCCTGGATTTGGAGCTCTCAAACCGAGGCTTTCATCTCAAAGAGTGGGGACAAAGCAGATGGCAAAGGTGAGGGTAGGGGGGATATGAGGGGTGTGTAACTATGAATTATTAATCACTGATCAGTATCAGTAGAGGTATTGAAATAGTGCTGCTCAAACACGAACACAGCAGTGTCGCCCCAGATGTCACGATGCACTGAGTGAATCATGAGCGAGCCATCGTGCGTTATGTCAAAGATCTGACATGAGATAGATCTGCTCTCCATACCTGTGACCTGTGACCTGTGCTACTAATTGCTTTGTTCCTTTACCAGCCACCATAGTTTGGACCGGATTCTCACGCCTCTCTGAGCCAAAGGAAAGCCAGACAAAAGGAGGGACCACATTCAGGCTGATGGGGGCTCTGATAGAGGAAGAGTGAGACAACAGAGCAGCCACTGTATATCCCTGCTGGGACTCCTTCACATGTCTGTTTCCGAGGGGAAAAAAAAAACATCGCTGTGGACAGATTTTTACTTTTACATGCTGAAGTACGGAACAATGTATGTTTTCAGTTTGTATATCTTTATGTGTCATCCAGGCACAGTTTCAGCCAGGTCTCATGGGAAATTTGTATTTTTTTGTATAGAAATCCACATATTGCGAAGACACTCGACAGATTTAAGATGTTTGGACTCAACCAGTGTGAATCTTTACCATAAAAATAAAACCATAACATAATAAGGTGTGTATGAGACAAGTGTATAAGACAACAAACATGAAAATTTTTGAAACCATGTTTAAACCCTTCACCTGTAACTACACTATCCCACATAAGAGCATTTATATAATGTTCACATCCTTATGTTTATTTAAAATATAAATATATTTTAGTATACATCTGCTTCTATTCATGCATTGTCTGTGAATCTACATCTATAAGCAAATAATGAAAATACTGGAAGTTTAAACTGGGAACACTGGGTCTAAACTAGTGGAATAAAAGCTCTTCATGTGATGGTTAGTTATTTTCCTGTGTTTTGGTGTGAGTGCTGCAGATTTTTTTGGTGATCTGTGGCTGTGTGTTTGCCGCCTGAAGCAGCTCCATCAGCATCAGTGATCAATGCGGCTGCCTACCTGCCCTCCCTGGGAAGCGGTGTCCCATTTCTGCTGCTTTATCCTGCTGCTCCCGCTGCTGGGACAGAGAGAACAAGGAGAGGTTTGTTCCTGCTGCAGCTTCCCCCCCTCGGACACCACAAACCCACCACAAACCAGGAACCAACCAAACCACCAAACAACCAAAATAAAAACATATTAAAAAAGCTACCAACCAACAAAACAACCACCGTCCTCTCCACTAAATGCTACTGGCAATAAGCTGAACTAAATCAAAGTTACAACTAGGGCCGCAAATGACAATTATTTTAATTCTTAATTAATCTGCCAATTAATTAACTGATGTGTCAGAAATTAGTGACAGATGTTCCTCGCATTTTCCCAACGCCAAGTTCATATATACAAGTTGCTTGTTTTGTACCAGAACTCCTATAAAAATCTGAAAATATTTCAGAAGCGAAATCCAGTTAATTTTAGACAATTTTTGCTTAAAACATCACTCACCCCCACCCTCATCACTCTCATTTCAGCCCTTGTTGAAACAATGACATGCTTTGGATAATGTTGTTATTATAATTTAAATTTTATTATAATTACATCCTATGGGAATAAAACACATATGACTAATACCAGAAAATTCATATACTATACTGTGCAAAAGTTTTAGTCACTTTCTTATCCATCACTCAGAAACATCAGGGAGGCGTCTGATTGGTCTAAAAATTAAAGAACTATCTTCAGAGACAAGAAGAGCAAGGAGTCCTGCAGCAGAAGGTCTGACCCGCACTGAGTCCTGATCTCAACATCATGGAGTCAGTCTGGGACAGAAGACACTGAGACTAAATCCACATAAACACTGTGGCAGGTTCACCAAGATGCTGGAACAACCTGCCTGCCAAGCACCTGAAGAACTGTACCGAGGAGAACTGGTGCTGGTTTAAAGCCAAAGAGGGGTCAAAGCAAGTCCTGATCTGATTTAGCTTTTTTGTTTACTGATAAATAAAAACGATTTGACATTATTTTTGAAAGTGTCTTTATGTTACTTTTAGTGACTAAAACTTTTGCACTGGACTGTAGATAACAAAATGTAAATAACATCAAACTAAAACATTAAATATTACGATAAAATAATTTAAATAATATATTGCTAAACATTTAAAAAAAATAAAAAATAAAAAATAACTCACTTATTAAATTGATCCCAGTTAGAAACGTTCACTCTCTCAACACCCCTGGAAAGATGAGCTGGAATCACAGAAAATAAATAAATAGTAGAAAATAAAAAATAAAATAAAGAGTGCTCAAGTATTTTCCACTTTCACGTGGAAATCACTTGATTTTCCCGCGGTATCAACAGCAGATCAGAGTCGCGTTTGTGTGTTTCCCCTCGCAGGTGACTCACCTTGATAAATTAGGATAAAATACAAAGATAATAAGTGAAACAGCCTTTTCCAGCCACGTCTTAAATAGGGATCCATTCGTCTTTCGCGGATCCGCCGCAGTCAGTCGGGTTTGGACAGCATCACCTGGTGAAAACCCTCCGGCTGGACTCCCGCTGCTCCCTGCGCTGCTCCATCCGGCTCATCCCCGAGGCGGCCCGGTGCGCGCCTCAAGAACCGCTGCACCTGCTCATTAACATAAAATATGCGCAAGTGGGCGGGGCCGTACACACGCAAACACGCAGGTGATCTGCTGCGGAGGTTACACTGATGATCTGATCTACTGAGTCCAGCCATGATCAGAAAACAGAGACATGACACTAAAACCACGTCTCTTTGCAGATTAAGTTTGATTAATAAAAATCCAAAGTTTAATCAAATAAGTTTTAATAAACAAAACAATTTAAATCATCAATCAAACTTTTATTAAGCCCTAGAGCTCGAGTCTGACAGGAGCAATGAGAACAGCGCCCTCGTGTGGTTTACAGTCAGTGGTGCTGCATCGCAACAGACTGGAGGGAAAGAAAATGATCACACCAAATGAAAATGAAGGTACTGTGATTTACTTCCTTCCTTATGCTTCTACTTCACAACATTTTACTGGCAAATATTGTCATTTTTACTCCACTATCAAACAGATCGTCATTTTACAAATGTTTTCTGAAAACATGCGAGAGGATCAATCAGTATTTCAACTCATTTTCAGTCTGTATCTTGATACAAGACGTGTAAGAATTAAGAAATAATGATTTCAGAAAAATACTTGAAACAAATGGATTTAGTCAGTGAATTAGAAATAGGTTTGTTTGAGTTAAAAACAAGGTGAAATACTTCTAGTGCTAATATTAGTATACTTCTTTTTTTTTCACTTGTTTTAAGAAAATAAGGTTTTAAAGAAAAGTACAAATGTATGTAAAATAGAGAAAACTACCTCGTTATTTCTTTATGTAATTATTGTATAACACTATAAAATGAGCCATTCTACAGAACTCTTTTTAACTCTTTTTAAAGCACTTTCAGCTGATGCTGCTTCTGTACTTTTACTTTAGGAAGATTTGAAATGCAACTTTTTTTTTTATTCTGAAGGAGTTGAGTATTTCTTACTTGCTGTTCTCTCATCATTTTATTAGTAATTCAATTTATGGACTGAATTGGAAATAGAAAATTAAATGAGCGGTGCAAAATTAATTGGCAGATATAAATTAAGACGAGAAAGTCACCTGCAGGCGAAAACGCACT